AGCCTCATCCCTGCTGCATCCCCCTCACCTCAGCCTCATCCCTGCTGCATCCCCCTCACTTCAGCCTCATCCCTGCTGCATCCCTGCTGCATCCCCGTCACTTCAACCTTATCCCTGCTGCATCCCCCTCACCTCAGCCTCATCCCTGCTCCATCCCCGCTGTGCTGGATGCTGCGCTGCTGCCACCGTGTGAGCAGTCCCCGAGTCTCCTCGCCCCGTGTCTGTTTGTTTTAGGTGTGACTCGCCGCGCTGGTGCACTTTGCACCGAGCACGTTGCTGTGCAGGCGCTCCCGAGCGCCTTTTCCCCCCGTGAGGACTTTAGACCGAGAAAGGCAAATATCCCAGGGCCTGGCACGGGGTGTTGTGTCGGTGGGATGCGGGGTATCCCGCAGAAGGGGTCACCCCGGGACTCCAGCACCTCTTTGCTGGCGTGGAAAACAGCCGTGCTGGTCCTGACACCGCCCCTGGTGATGTTACAACCCGAGCCGTGTTTACCTGCCGTGCCACGGCCGTGCACCGGTGGGGAACGTGTGGGTCAGGAGGAGGGTTGAGAGGTCACAGCAGGTAAACAGGGGTGAGTCTGGGAGGTTTCCTGCCTTGGCACTGACTCAGAACATGGCTTCAGCAGGTGATCTCACCTCCCCGGGCTAGATTTTTGGTGATAAAGAGCTAAACTGGTATACACCAGAGAGCTGAATAAATCATCAGGAGGTTGGTGGGGTTAAGATGGGGTCACAGAGTGGGGGTGATGGTGGTATCTCCCCAAACGCTGGTGTCAAGGGCCACCACTGAGGCTGTTGGTTTATTGCTCAGGATTGCTGAAATTCGGGATTATGCCTGTCATTAATTCACCCATTTTCAGTGTTTTCCCTGAAGGTGTCTTCTACTGGTGCTGCTTCCTGTGTATGAAGCCAATGCTGAAAGCGCCTTTGAGTCCTCGCCTGCACAGCCCAGGGAATGCCCGAGAGCATCCCTTGATGCAGTTATCCTTTGGGATATCCTGCTCTGCCATTGTCCCTGCAGCTGTCCCCACATCAGCCCCTGTCCTTGGCTTCCACTGCCCCGACCTGACACTGCCACAAGCACCTGCAGCAGCACAGACCAAGTGGCTCCGCTCCATCCAGCCAGGACACCAGACCTGTGATCAGGCCCCGTATCCAGGTAGGAAGGTTTCCTTGGAGTCTTATCATCACTGGTGAGTGATTTCCTAGGCACGAGCCCTCTCTCACCATCTGCTCCTAATTCTAAAAAGCTACACTAAATATCTGCTCAGCTTTTTTTTTTTAATACCCACCTGCATGACACCACCAGAGCTCTTCTCTCCCAGCCCTGTTATCCTCAAACCCTGCATCTCCTATTCCTAAATCCCTGACCAAGGCAGAGTTTCCCTGATAGGATGCAGCAGCCCCCCCCCCCAGCAGGTCGGCTCCAGGAGGAAGCAGCAGGTTCCTGATTATTCTCACTGTTAAACACAGCAGCTTTATTTACGCTGTTTTCCAGGTTGCAGACGTGCGTGTGTGTGCTTGAAATGCAGACGGTGACCTGGCACGGTGGTTGAACTGGTTGTACTGGAACCGCCGTCCCTCAGCGCCACGTCCCGGCTCCGCTCCTGGCCGGGAGATGCCGGCAGGTCCCACCCTCCCACCAGGAGCCTCCCGAGTGGCTGGTTCTCCTCCTTTTTCCCTCTTGCATGGCAGGTTCCCAGCCTGCAGCCCCGGCAGGGACTCTCTAAATTGGGGGTTAGAAACTGAGGCATGAGGAGGAGAGATACCAGTAAAGAGCAGTGTGTGTGGGCTGGGCTGGGAACTGGGATCTGAGGGAGCTCATCATGGAGCAGGCTGGGATGGACTCTTATCCTGGGGGCAAAGCTGGGGCTCTGCCATGTTCCATTATATATAACATTATATTTATATACGTATTGTATTTCTGGTGCTAATTAGCTCCTAAGTCTCTCTTTAATCATAGAATTCTGGAATGGTTTCGGTTGGAAGGGACCTTAAATCTCATCCAGTTCCACCCCCTGCCATGGGCAGGGACACCTTCCACTATTCCAGGCTGCTCCAAGCCGCATCCAACCTGGCCCTGAACACTCCAGGGATGGGGCAGCCACAGCTTCTCTGGCCAACCCCTGCCAGGGCTTCACCACCCTCTTCCTATTCCTTGCTATCTAATCTAGATCTAAATAGATATTCTAATCCTAATCCAGACAGATATCCTTCCTCATCACCCTCTTCCAATTTCTCCCTATCTAATCTAGATCTACCCCTTGTCCTATCACTCCATGGCCTTGTAATTAGATAATAATATCATCATATAATATACATGTGCAGTTTGGTGGCTCTGCTGACCTGACTCTCAGGGATGGGTTTTCCCTCTTTCAGGACAAGCCATCCAGCTGCAGGTGTCCAGGAGCAGCGTGTCACCCAGAGCAGTGCTTTTGGCTCGCTGTTGGAAAGATTTGGAGGAATCCTGGAGTATGGCTGGGCTTTCAGTGATGACTTTAAAATACATGCTGAGCACTTTTGAGCAGGAAAAAGCAGGGAAAACTGCCAGTGAGCAATTTCTGCCTCCAAGGCAGGGTAATGTGAGCCCCTGGCACCTCTGCACGTACCAGGGCATCAGATGCCCTTCTGAAAGGCCCTTTTGTTACCTGCTGGTGGGTCCAGTGGGGCTTCAGTTCCCGCCTTGGCATTCCTGTGCTCTGTATCCTGCATATCTGGCTGGATAAACACCCTGGAGAGGTCCCAGCCTGCCCTGGACTGGGCAGGGAGTGTTTGCAAGGGGAGGAATTGAGCTGCCATAGATAAATCCCCACACTGGGATGGCTGCTGGAGTTGGAAAGGCAAGTGAGACCAAGAGATGGATGTGAATGTGTTATCCCACAGAGGAATGTGCAGAAGGGAAAGATGCCTTAGCAGCCATCCAAGGGGTCCAAGCAAGCCCCTCCCACCTTGATCCTGCTCCACTGCCACTGAAAAGCCCATTTCTGGCCAAAATTCAGCTTTGTGGAGTGGGAACCTGAGGAGCCAAGTTATGAATGTCCCCTCTGTGCTCACAGTCTCCAGGGCCTCTCTGCAGGGGGGTGACCTGGCTCGGAGCTCTCCCTGCGCCGGATCGGGGGCAGTCAGTGTGTGAAGTCCATGTTCCCCCTGCTTTCTTACAGAGCAAATAATTCCCTGTTGTGTCTCCTGAGTGACAGAGCTGCTTGGGATGACGAGTCTGTGTTTGACACAGGAAGGTGGGGCAGGAGAGGAGGAAATTTGCCTGAAGTGGAGTGAATTTGCCTGAGCCGGTGGCCAAGCCGGAAAATGCAAAACAATCCATAAGAGGGAAAAAAAAAATAAATATGCAGTTATGCTTAATAGTTATTTCTTTTTCTAGGACAGCTCTCGGAATCGCTCTTTGATTAGAGGAGGAATGTATCGCTGCCGTGCGCCGGGGCAGGTGAGTCACTGGAAAATACCATCGGCTCCACGCGGGATTGTGCTGGGAGGGAGGGATGCAGGGAAGCAGTGGGGGCTTTCCCAAGAATCCTGAACACCAGTGGCCCCGAGGCAGGGCTGTGGTGCGCTGAGTCACGCCAGGAGATGTGACAAGTTTCGTTGGGTTCGTGATGGCTTTTGCCTTCGCAAGGACTTGCAGGGCTTAAGGGACAGGAAAAACTGCAGTGGCTGGTCCAGCAGCGTAGTGATGTGGCTTCTTCACTTGGATAGGGGAAAAACCCACCCTGAGTGTCATCTCTGACAGAATTTGAGTCCTTGGTGGTGGTTATTATTATGGCTGGGTGCGAGAAGGGCCTGGAAAAATGCATCCCAGTAGTTGTTGGGATGGCATTCAGGCAGAGGTGACACTGGACACGGCATTAGTTGCAACGGGTTTTGCCAAAGCTCAGGTCTGGTCCCTGTAGTTCAGTCTGGAAACCACGGGATTGTCTGTCTATGAGGACAGGGCACATTGCCAGTCGCCATGGTGAGGGCCATGCCCGGAATGGCTCTTCCTGGCAAGCAGGTGGTTAAACTGGGAGTATTTATAGAGGGCAGCAGACTGATAAAAAGCACTTTCCAGGCTCCCTGGGAGCACAAGCCCGGCTTTGTGGGGATGTCGGCTTTGCCTTGGTGAATGGAGTGATGAGCCTGAGCAGTTGGGTTCCCCAAAATGAGACTTCTGCAAACAGAGTTCGGAACTGACAGAGGAAAGGCTCCACACAAGCTGGTTTCATAACGCAGATGCCTCACAAGCTGGGTTTTAAACTACAGATTAAAAACTAAAACTTCAGTTAGATGTTGGGAAGAAATCCTTCCCTGTGAGGGTGGGGAGGCCCTGGCACAGGTTGCCCAGAGAAGCTCTGGCTGCCCCATCCCTGGAAGTGTTCAAGGCTGGGTTGGATGGGGCTTGGAGCAACCTGGGCTAGTGGAAGGCAGGGGGATGAAACTGGATGGGCTTCAAGGTTCCTTGCCAACCAAACCATGTTGTGGTTCTATGAAACTAGAGACAGGGGCTGTGATGTTTCAAGCAGGGGCTGCACAGCGCTCCGAGGGGGTGGCGCGATCGGCACCCCCAGCTGGGACGCGCACGTGGTTTTTTGGGGTGCTCTCCCCCACGGTTTGCGGGTCTCTGAGCTGGTTTTACGGGGGGTCTCCTCGCTGCTGCTCCCTCCCCTCTCTCCGTTTCCCGGAACAGGGCCCGGGGCCGGGGAGCGGCGGGGCCGGTCCCGGGAAGCGCCGCCCCGCGAGGGCCGGGCCGGGGAGGGCGGAGCGGCCCTCACGGACCCTCCGCAGCCACCGCCGCCGCCGCCGGGGAGGTACGTGGGGCCGGGGGGGAGCCGCGAACCCACGGGACCCCCTGGGCCGAGCGGGGACGGGACCGCCGGGCTGGGACCCGCGGGAGCGCTGGGAGCCGGGAATGGGGCGGGCTGGGCTCGGTCCCACCGGGAGAGGGACCGGGAGGGCGTCGGGCTGGCGGGCTGGGCTGGGATAACCTCCGAAGTGCGGGGAACACCGGCAAAGCGGGGGGGAACACCCCATAAAGCAGGAGCAAACACCCCAGGAAGCAGGAGCAGACATCCTCGAAGCGGGGAAATCTGCCCCCGAAGCGGGGGCTGGAGCGCCGGGGTTTGGGGAGCAGCCGTGCCTTTGGGGTCACCCCCTTGGGGCACCTTCCTCGGTCCCCGTGTGAGCATCGGGGTGGCCGTGCTGAGGGCGGGGGGAGGAGGAGCGGCTGCCGTCTTGGGGAAGGATCAGCTGGCACTTTAGGGAAGGATCGGCAGCAGGGAGAGGGTGCCCGGTGACCCCCACGCCGAAGCACACCGGAGCCCGGCAGCCGCGTCCCACGGGTGGCAGCCCAGCAGGAGTGTCACGGATCACGAGCCCACGGCTCGGGTACGTGCGCCGGGAAGGGGCAGGAGGGACCGTGTGTGAGCCAGGAAAGCAAACAAAGCCAAGGAGAAGGAGAGCTGCGCAGGGCAGGTCGGGGCTGGGCGCTGGGCAGTGGGGGCTCAGCTCTTCCTATCACGACGTTCCTGCTGAGGAAAGAGCGGCCTGGAGCTTCGAGGGGTTAAGCAGACCCACAGGTGTCTCCCAAGTGTTTGTCTGCTGACGCTGGTATTTGATTTTTGGGGGTGACGGGCTAGGATGAGCGTCGCTGTGTAGCTGGGCTTGTTGGGAAGTGCGGATGTGTGAGTAGAAACCAGGAGTTTGTCCCATGGGAGACGGGCTGCCCTCGCCTCTGCGTAGTGGATGAAGCCTGAGAGAGGTTTGAAGCTGCACCAAGAGGTGTGGTCCTGGCTTTCCAGCTTAAAGCTCTCTGGAGCAGACCTTGGCCGCTGCCTGATGGGATGCGGCCACAACGCATCCCTCTGCAGCATATCCAGGCATCCTGCAGCCATCCACAGCCCTGGGTATCTCGGCATGACAGCCAGAAAGGGAAACCTCCCGGGTGTCAGTGAGGAACATGTGGGTGTGGGGCTGGTGAACCCAGCCCTGGACTGAGGTGACTCGGAAGTACGTGAGATGCCTTTGATTTTAGCTGTGTAATTACACGGGTGGGAAAACCCTTAGGAAGGCAAGTGCCTGGGGAAGGAGGAATGTTTGGCCACCGGTGCCCTGAAGAGAGGTGAGTGTTGGTGTTTGGCGCCGTGGCGGTGCCACGGGGAGATGCCAGGGGGGCCAGGGCTGGGCAGGGCTGTCTGCCTGCACCCCAGCAGGAGCCTGGGAGGAGGGATCCCTCCGGCAGCCCAGGTATTTGTCTGTCTCCCAGTGCTGCTCCAGACTTTTCTTGCTCCCAGTGTATTTAACAGCCAGAAACTGGTGTCGAGGCTCCACGGAAGCAACTGAATATCCTTGTATGAGCAGTGCAGGTGGCATGTAGTGACATAATTCCCAGAAAACCTCCATCCCTATCAAAATACCTGTGCCCACGTTGCGGAACACTCCTGCTTTGTGCCTGGCTGCTCTGTGTCGCTTGGCTGCCCGGCCAGCTCCGTGTGCCCTGGCATCACCCCTCGCTCCCTTCCTGCCTTGTGGGCTCCTTAGCCATCCACAACAGGTTTTCTTTGTGGGTCACACTTGTTGGAGAACCTTTTGGAAAAGCACGGGGAGAGGTGATGCTGTGTTGGGGTGAAAGGTGCTGCTGAAAATCCGGTGTGAGGATGAGGAGGGCGGTGCTGGTGAGGCCGATGGCAGCGTGATGTGTCAGGTTAGTGGCTTTCAGCAAGGGGAGATAAGGCTCTAGGGCTGCTGTGCTGTCACAGGAGCTGCTCAGAGCACTCCAGGAGGGCTGTGGGGAAGCGGGAGTGCCGGGTTTGGCTTCGGAGGACATCAAAAGGGCAGATGGATAATGTCTCTGAGCACTGGAAGGCTCTGGAGGAGAGTGTGTTATCTGGGTGTTATCTGGCACGGAGACGGGGAGAGGTCCCAGAACAAAAACTGGGGGGAGGCTGTGGAGGAGTGGCTTTATCTCAGAGGAAACAGCAGATTAGTAGAATTTAAAAAAGAAATAAATCCAAGCTCAGAAGTGCACAGTGGCACCCGAAGGAAACTGGGAAGGAGAAGGAGTCAAAGGGCTGGGATTTTCCCAGGCAGGCGTGATTTCCCAGGGCTGGGTGCACAGGGAATTCAGCTCCCCGGAGAGAGGTGAGCACCTCAGACCCCCATCCCTGGTTTAGCAGAGCCTGACCTGGAAGCATTAGGCTGGCACTGGCTCCCAGTGTGAGCCTGGCTCAGGAAAAGCCACGGGACACTGTTCACACAGTGGCTGGGACACACCGAGGGCTCGCTGACCTGCTGTGAGCCGGTGCCAGCACAGCCTCGGTGCCCGCAGTAGCATTGTCCCCAGGAATAAATGGCAACGTCCTGAAACACAAACGTAAAAGGACTTTCTGTCCCTGTCCATTACCGCTTTCCAGCAGGCGCCGCTCGGATGGATATAATGGAATTACGGGGAGAAAAGAGTCTGGGAGGCAGTTTCTTGTATCTCAGTGGCAAAGGTCAAGGCAATGGCTACTGCAGAGTCATGATTACAGCTCAGGAGAACGGCTACTGTGGCTTGTGTGATCCCTGCCACTTCAGAAGCCCCTGGCAATTCCCGGAATTCCGAAGGATGCAGCGCAGAGAGGTGCATGTGGCTTGGGAATGGGGTGTTTTGTGTGCCCCATCACTGCCGTCACCGTGGCTGTGTGAGGCCACGGCCAGCCGGGTGGACTGCAGCATCCTGAGCCCGGGAATGGGCTTTCCAGTGACGCCCTTGTTTTGCAGGAAGTGGCAGAGTCGGGGCCCCCCCGGCTCCCTCCGGAGCGGGAGAGGGGGAGAGCCTTGGGCAGGGATTGAGGAAAGCACCGCTGCTCTCCCAGCGCTGATGGGGAGGTGTAGCCGAGGAGGGGTTGTTAAAAATGAAAGGTAAGGAAGAAAGAGGGTTAACTAGCTCTTAAATGTCCGTAGGGAATGTCGGGAGTGATGGATGGGGGTGCATTCTTTTGTGCTCTAGGCAGGAAGTGTAAGCAAAGTGTGGAAGAGCCCTGGTGGTCTGCGCGGGGCTGCCCCTCCAGGTTTCTACTCCCTAGTGGGATGCCTTAAAATAGGCTGGGATTTGTCCAAAAGATCAGAAATTGGCTAAATCAGCAGTGATGCTGATTTTCCTGGCTCTGCTGGATTTCTCTGGGTATTCCCCACATTCCCTGGGCTGCATCTGGCCAGAAACATCCCTGTTCCTGGGACAGGTGTAACGGGGGCAGCAAGAAGGGCCAAAGAAAGAGAGAAACCATGGCAGGGGATTGGAACAAGATGCTCTTTAAGGTTCCTTCCAACCTAAACCATTCTGGGATCCTGTGAAAATATCATCCATGTCCTGGGTGTCCCTTTTCCAACCCCACATAGAGTTTTGTGCTCCTGGTGGGTTGGGCCCTTGTGTAATGAGAGGCACTGCAGGAACGAGCTCCTGAGGATGTGTCAGGGTCAGCAATTAGCAGGGAAGGGGGTTAATGAGCAGATTGTCTGGGTGGAAGCATGAGGAAGAAGGTAGAGCCTTGTAATCTAACAGAGAGGAGACTCTGGGATCCTTGGATAGTTGGACAATGGGTTTAATTAAAAAAAAAAAAAATCCAGACAATTAGTTTTGTTTTTTATGACCAGTGCTGGGGTTGCTCCCTGGTTTTGGGAGGCAGCTCCGAGGGGATGAGCTGCTCCATGGAGGTGTGTTGGGAGCCATGCACTGTGCTCCAGTGACTCCTCGGGAGAGAGGAAGCCCTGGAGCTCATCCCACATCTGGTCGCTGTATCGGGGTTCAACCTGTTCCCTGAACTGCAGACTCATCTCTCGTGATCCCGTGACAAAGGTGTTGCTGCTGGAGCATGAGCAAGAAGGTGATGTCATGGGAGGGGGAAAAATCCAAAGGTTGCAGAGGGCAGAGGAGCGTGGGTGCCGCTGTGGGCAGCGGAGGGTGTCGGGCTTCCTTGTCAGTCAGCCAGTGGGGCTGGCATTTCTCTGGGAGCACCAGGATATGGGGCATGATCCAGGGCTGACCCCGTTGGGTGGGTCTGTCTGCCATGGAAGGGAAGGTGCTCCCTGCTCCACCTGGCTGCCTGTGCCAAAGCCTTCCGGGCACATCCAGGCGTGGTGGCATGCAGTGCTGAGAACAGGCTTATCCTGAGCCCTCCTATGCCCAATTAACACTTGGAAATGTCCCAGGAGAAGTGTCCCTGGGCTCTGGCAGCCTGCAGGATTTGGGGAGAGGTGTGGGAAGCCTGGAGGAGCTGTGGATGCCCCTCTGGCTTTGAAGCTGAGCCGGTGGAGTTTAATGATTTGGAGATCTTGGTGTAAATCATTGCCAGGGCAGGGCACAGGAGTAGGGGGGATGGGGTGGAGGGGTCTGGCTGCAGGGAGGATCCCATGCTGTGGGCAGAGGGAAGGGGAAGGGGGCTGGAGGACTGGAGTGCTCAGACACCTCTTGCTGACCTGATGGGAACAAACTCCAGTTGAATAGGACAAGGGGTGATGTTTTAAAGTAAAACAGACCTGATTTAGGTTGGATAGTAGGAAAAAATTCTTCCCTGTGAGGGTGGGGAGGCCCTGGCACAGGTTGCCCAGAGAAGCTGTGGCTGCCCCATCCCTGGAAGTGTCCAAGGCCAGGATGGATGGGGCTTGGAGCAACCTGGGCTAGTGGAAGGTGTCCCTGCCCATGGCAGGGGGTGGAACTGGATGAGCTTTAAGGTTCCTTCCCACCCAAACCATCCTGTGACTGAGGGATGAGCATCCAGACAGCTCTGGGGGTACTGGACCCGAGGCAGAGGCAGCAGTAGCTCCCTGCTCGAGCTGTGACGTCAGGGCACCAGGATAGCTGTTGGATGAGAGATAGGAGCAGCTCTGGAAAGCCAGGAGAGCAGCTAATTCAATGGAGACACAGACTGGAATAGCAAGTCTCCTGTTTTAATCCGATTGCTGGGCTGCAGGGTAGCACTGTGAGGGATCTGTGGAAAACTTCCAGGCACAGAGGTGACGTAGGAGCTGAAATCCTGCCACTTGCAGGACTGAGGTGCCTGAGGGAAGCCGCAGAGACTGTGAACAGGCACAGAGGTTTAGGCACCACGGGTAAATGCGAGCAGCCCTGTGTGTGTTCTCTGCCCACCGTGGGTGCTGCACAATTTTCCTGCCCCAAGGCCATCACAGCAGTTCTCAAGTGAACTCCTGGCTGGCCAGTGTGTTTGTGATGAGGAAGGGGAGCTCGTTTGGATCAACAGGTAAGGGAAAAAATCCACAGGGCACAAGTGGAGAATGAGACCTTTGTGTGGGAGGGCAGAGGCCAGTGCTGGGACCACCAGTCACAGTGGAAGTGCTTGGGTGGGAGGGTGGCTCTTGGAATGCTGGTGAGGACGTTTCAGATGCAGAGTTTTCCACATCTTCAACAGCTGTTCACTGGGATGGAATTAAAGCTGGGATCAGGGGATGCCTTCCCCGAGGAGCACACGGGGCAGCAGCCTGGTGCTGGGGCTGGGCACAGTGCTGAGCTGTGCCATGGGGAACAACGGGCTTGCCCCATCCTGCCTCGCAGCAACTCCCTGTGGGCAGAGCTCAGCAGCTCGTGTGTGTCCCATAACCCCGGACAAACCACAGGAGCCAAGACTCTGCCCTGCCTGGACCCACACAGGCCTGGGGATGTGTCCAAAGGGGCTGGGACACCCCTCTGGGAGTATCCCCAGCCCTGCTGGGCACTGGCAGTGATCAGGGAAGTTTCTCTGCAGATCCCTCCTCTCCGGGCATGCGTGCGTGTCTTTTCCTGCTGGAGCCGGTCTGTTTTCTGGGAGTGCTGCTCTATTCTGGCCCTTGACCCTGCAAACCGGGCGTGCACTCAAGCTAAACAAGCAAACACGCAGCTTTTGAGCCGGAGGGTTGAGCTGGAGGGTGTGTGGGTGAGTGTGGATACAGCACTTACAGCAGCACAGCCCAGGGCCACCTCGAGCCCAGACCAGCGTCCAGAAGCCGGGGAGGGAAGGAGGGATCCCTGGCATGGTCTTGGCACATCCATAAAGCTGCGAGGCTTCATGGGGATGCTCTGCTGTGAGGATCCAAGTTGTCACCCATGGGTCACAGCACCCGAGGTCAGGGAGGCGAGCGGGGCAGGAGATGTGGCTCCATGAGTTTATTTTTGGAAAGCGAGCACAATCTGGTCCAGGCAACCCAGGAAACATCCAGTGGAGGCAGCGGAAGGGAGAGTTCCCACCCATGGCTGGCTGGTTGGGAATGCCAGTGCTCGGACATCCCCGTGGGATGCAGCCAGGGCACTCACCACCCGTGTGTGTGTTGCTCCAGGGAGGGAGAGCACCAGCCTGAAGTGAACTGGAGGCCCTACAAGGGTTCACCATCCCGGCAGCCGTTGCTGGAAGGTTGGGAGAGAGGCAGTTTTGGTTTCTGTTCTCCGGGCAGGAAGGCATCGCAGGGCAGGCAGCCAGCGCCGTGAGCAGCACTGCTCCATCCCACGTGTGGGGAAAGGGAGAAACTGTTCAGCTAGAGATGTGTTTCTGAGCATTTCCAGGTTGGTTTGCACTGACAGTGGCTGTTGAAGTTGATTTGGGTGGCCTTCTTTTGGTGCTGTGAAGACGCTGGTTATCACACTCCCAAGGACGGGCAATCTAAGCCCTCAGCAAACATCAGTAATTTGATTGTTTCCAAAGGTTGGTGATTATTACAGCTGAGAAAGTAGCAAAGGGTGGGAATGGGAATGGCCAGCAAGGATCCAGCTGCCTTGTTATATCCTGACATGCTCTCCCAAGGCACTGGCAGGGTGAGATTTCCAGTGTTACGTGGATGAAACAATATCATCGTGGCTACTGTGGCTGCACAGACTTTGCATTTTTCCGTGGACCAACCATCACTTTCCCTCTCTTCCCAGAGCTCACATCCTGCCCGGGGAGGGCATGTTAGCAGGGCTGCAGCCCCCCTGCCCCGAGCCATGCTGTGAGGAGGGGACAGAGCAGCCATCCAGCAGCGGGAATGATGGCCCAGTCCCGGGCCAACGGCTCACACTACGCCCTGACGGCCATCGGGCTGGGGATGCTCGTCCTCGGCATCATCATGGCCGTCTGGAACCTCGTCCCGGGCTTCGGCCCCCCCGAAAAACCCTCCACCCACGCCGGGAACAGCAGCAAACCCGACCGCGGCTCCGGGGGCATCTTGAAGAGCAAGACCTTCTCGGTGGCCTACGTGTTGGTGGGAGCGGGGCTGCTGCTGCTCCTGCTCTCCCTCTGCCTCAACATCCGGGACAAGAAGAGGCAGAGCGAGGACGTCACCGTCGCCCACGTGCAGCGCCAGGTGTCTGTGGAGCCCTCGCAGCAGGAGGACAGGTGAGGTGCTCTGGGGAGAAAGGGAGTGGGTGTAGGAATGACACCAAGGGCTGTTGCTGTAGCTCTGTGAGGTCTGGATCCAGGAGAGGAAGGCTGGTGTCAGGCAGCACGTGCTGAAATGAGCAAGCACGCGTCGTGGTGTGGGGTTCTGATGTGTCCTGGAGATGGGAAAGGAATGACTCCAGACTGTATTTATGGAGCTGTGTAGGTGGAAGGGAGCCTTGCTGGTATATGAAGTGGGGTCTAGACAGAGCTGTGGCCAAGCCAGTGTTGCTGAGATGTGCCACTGCTGGCTGGGATGGCACATGGGAGTGTGCTGAGAGGGGTGGGTGATGGGTAGCACAGAGCTGCTCTCTGCCTCACACCGGGAGAGGAGCCAGAGGTGCAGTGGAGGTGCTGCCTCACTGGGTGCAGCTGACGTGCCCAGCAGCCCTGGAGGCTGGCCATGGAGTTTAGACCTGGTGAAAGTCTGCAGGGCTCTGCTGATTGCTCAGGGATCTGCATCGAGCAGAGCAAAGGCTGCTGCTGCAGCAGGCACAGGCTGGATAAACACTGGTGCAGTTCCCTGTGCAGAGGGAGGCAGGGGGGTGTTGGGACAATGTGGGATACAAGGGGGCAGGAGAGGATGATGGCTCTGCTGGCTGTTGTCAGGGTCTGCAGATCCACCCAGAAACCCGATTTTCCCTGTTAGATTGAAAAGGTAACTTCATAATGCCAAAGAAATGGCAAATATTGATGTGCAGGTACCTGTGCATAAGACAGTGACATAGTGCAGGGCTGAATCTCTTTGAAGAAAACCTCAAGGCACCCAGCCCAAAAGACATCATAACAAGAAAGGAAGATAGGTGATGTCCCTTTCAAATGTATTTTGACTGGGTTTTGAGAGAGGAGGAGAGAAATTGGTGTTCTTTTGAGGGAAGAATTCACTGCTGGGCAATAGAATAAGGGTTTGTGGGCAGAGAAGGTGATGATCAAAGATGGGCATGTGACATAAGGAAATAAAATGTGTCTGAACACAGGTGGGGTCATGATTAGTTCTGTCAAGCAAAAAGGGGCTGGTATATAATGTAGAAGGGCAAATAATTAGTTAAAGGCTTTGAGGGTGGGGTGGTTTTATTCTTTCCTCTCCATCCCCTACCCACAGCAAAGCTGAAATGACGTTGTACCCACAGCCTTAACTCTTTCCCCTCTAGTCAAGAAGAGGATGAAGACGTGTCTTCCCAGTACTACGTCCCCAGCTACGAGGAGGTGATGAACACGGGCTACTCGGAGCCCAGAGACTCGGACAGGAGCAACAGGCTGAGCGTCTCCCTGCCCTCCTACGAGTCGCTGACGGGGCTGGACGAGAGCAGCCAGGCTCCAGGAGCTGCAGGCACGGAGCCGGGCACGGAGAGGCAGCCCAGCCGGCACAGCTCCCGCCTCAGCAAGCGCCTGAAGCCGCTGAAGGTCCGCAGGATCAAGTCGGAGAAGCTGCACCTGAAGGACATCAGGCTAAACCTGGACCAGGGGAACAGCACCGTCCCCATCACGATAGAGCCCCTCACCCCTCCGCCCAAGTACGAGGAGATCCAGGAGAAAGCGCCAGTGAGCCAGCAAATGCCTTAAAAGAAAAGCAAGAGGGATGTGTGATGCTGCCGGGTTGAGGGTTTTTACAAACCCAGCGGGCCAAGGGGGGCTTGGTCTGTGGGTGCAGAAGCAGCCAGGGCTCCCTGGAAGCTGCCACGTGGAGGACGTGATGGGTGTGGTAGCACTGCAGCACGAGGATGGGACATTTTTTCCCTGGGACTGGGTTTTACAAAAGACTGTGGGGAAGAAGCCTGAATGCCACAGGTTCTGCTGCTCTGAAGTAAATGAAGGCTGGAGGTACCAAAAGTGTCCCTTATGGTGTTTGATGTAAGACCACCCAGGGCATCCTCTCACCTCCTCTGCCTCTCACCTCCAGCAAGACTTTTCCAAGCCACCAAACTGATATTGAAGAAGGATTTTTCCAAGTGGGAAAGTGAAATGTTCCTTTTTTTTTTTTTTGGGGGGGGGGTGTCTTTTCTTTCTGAGGAAGGGAAACTGCGTTGCCAGAGCAGCACCACGGCTCTCCCCCTCTCCCGGCTGGGTTGGGCTGGTGGCCCAGGGCCGGCCCTGACTCCTGCCAAGGTCTCTGCTGGCTGGTGGGAAGCAGCTGAAAGGGGGCCCTGTGCTCCTTGGGATGGATTTCCTGCCTCAGTTGCTGTCCCTGTTGTGTTCTGTGCTCTGTTTGAGGCAAGTGGGTAACTCGGGGGGTGGGGAGCTGCACCAGTGCCAGGGGTGCAGGGTGAAACCACTGCTGAGCATCCTGTGTGGGCAGACCTGGGCTGAATAAATGTTTTGTACGTTGTGTTTGTGTGTATGTGTGTGTGCACTCGTGGGTGGTTGGTCCTTCCCAAGGTTTATAATCCGTTGGCTGTTGTAAGGGAGATGCTCCATGGGCATCCCAACTCCACGCTGCTGGCAAAGCCATTGGCCACAAAGTCATCAGTACATCCATCCAGGCTCCCTTGAGTGGTCTGAGAGGGATGTGGAGGTGGCTTTGTTGGTGTGATGCTGATATTGATGTAATCGTAGGATAATAGAACCATTTAGGTTGGAAAAGATCTCCCAAGATCATCAAGTCCAACCATTAACCCAGCACTGCCAAGTCCACCACTAAACCATGTCCATGTTATGGACTGGTCAGCAGAGGCTGACTTGATGCTGTGGTTGATATGAGAGGAGTCCAAAATGAAGGCAAAGACATGCTGGTCCAAATCCATCCAGCAGATTTCCCTTGTTAATGATTATTTCCTATTGCACCTCTTAGTTTCTGTTGTTGCATCACAGGAGTTTCACTTTGCTGTGCCCCAAGGCATCTTCTCAGATGGGCAAAATAACCTCAATAGCTAAGGGAGTCTCCTACTCAAGAGAAGGAAGCAAAGCAGAATATACCCCAGATTGAGGGATGTGGGGTGGGGGGTCCTGTGTGGGTCTTGTTGAGGGGCTGTAAAGGTGGTGCAGCTCCTTGGAAGTTGTGTCCCAGGCATGTGTGCCCCTGAGAGCCCACTGGGAATTAACTCCTGTCTCCTTGGTGAAGAAATACAGCCCTGACAGGGTTCCTAGAAAATCTGGGTGAATAAAGTGAAGTTTCTTGTCTGAGCAGGTGGAAGGTGAAGTTTTATTGAGCTTCTTTGCCAGAAAATCCCATTGGATGAAATAGACTGGCAAAAACATCCTCTTTCCCAATGTCCCGTGTAGGAAAAGAGCTGAAAGACTGCCATGAAGTGCAATGACCACAATGACATGAGCTGTGACTCATGCACTAGTTATGCCAAAAATGCCCCAAATGGCTAATGAGCATCTCTGGCTACTTTCATGCTTGTCATTTGATGGTATTTGGGAAGCAGAGGGAGATGTGGGATGCTGAGAAGTTCAGGAGCCATGACCATCGCTGTCCTAGGATGGCTTATCCCTGTACAGTAAGGAAGGCACAGTAAGGGAATGGTTATTCCTGACGGTGAGGGTGATGGAGAAGAAGGTGGAGAGAGCACAGCTGTCTCTTTCAGCAGATTCGTCTCACCCCAGCCTTAGGCTGGTTGTCCAAGGTGGACCACGCTAGTGGGTGAGAAATCAGGATGTGTTCAACATTTCACGTGTGTCTCAGTGTCTCCAGGAGGTAACTCACATCCCAGGACAACTCAGTGAGTTCAGCCTGGAGAAGAGGAGGCTCCAGGGAGACCCTAGAGCACCTTGCAGTACCTAAGGGGGCTCCAAGAGAGGTGGAGAGGGACTTTGGACAGGAGGCTGGAGTGACAGGACGAAAGGGAATGGCTTCAAAGTGGCAGAGGTTTGCAGAGCTCTTTGCAAAATCTTCTGTGTCTGCCTCAAAGTTAATGAGATGATTAATTAATTAAATTAATTTATTCTTTATTAATGTGATAAAACCTTGCAGGGCTGGAGAGGCCAAACTGGGTGGTGTTAGTGGCAAAGGTGGGGGTTTTTTTCCCCTTTTTCTACTGAAAAAGAGTTCCTGGCAGCCTGGGACCAAGGAATATCGATGGACAAGCGCTGATGGGTGACAGCGCTTATCCCCTTGCCTGTGGTTGCAAAACCTGTGTGTGTGTGTGTGTGTGAGTGATATTAAATAAAAAAAAATAAGCCAAATGGGGACTCAAAGGTTCTTTGGCAGCCCTGGCAGGTGGCAGTGAGGTTTGGGATACACATTCCCACGCGTGTCAGCAGCTGGCACCGGGAGCCGCGGCCGCGCCGGCGCGGAGCTCTGTTGTGCTGCCAGGCCAGTTGCTTGGAAAAAGGAGAAGGAGGAAAAAAAAAAATAAATAAACAAAACAAAGAGGAAAAACTCACCCAGACAGGCAGCAGCAGGGCCCAGCGTGGCCGAGGTTTCCAAGGCTACTGCCAGGCTGCAGCAGCGCTGCTGGCTGGGACAGAGCCGCTTTTGGGGTCATTTTGTACGGTTCTTAGCGTGTGAGTTGTTTGGGGCCGCTCGTGGCTCAGGTTGTGTGTTGGGTGGGGGGTTGCTGAGTGAGGAGTTGGGTTTTTTGGGGGGAAAGCCTTGCAGGTTTGGGGGCTGGGCAATGCGAGCCTTTCTAAAGAGCTCCGAGGGGTGTTTCCAGCTGAAACCCCACACCACGACCATCGGGAGCCACGGAGGGGCCGACATCGTCCTGCAGGTAGGGGCGGGGCAGCTGGCCATCCTAAAACAGAGGGTGGTTTGGATGCAGGGAGGAGGATCTGCTTGAGTCCTCCGTGCAAAGCGTGGTGGGATTTGTGGCCAGAAAAGGGGCTTGGCGAAGCAGGGACGAACCCGGAGCCGCGTCCAGCAGCGTTCCCTGCCTTGCCCACTGCCCGCTCCCAGTCCGCAGGTGTAGCAGATCGTCACGCAGCCCTGGAATTCTCCGCCTCGGACAACAGCTTCGTCCTCCAGGACTTCAACTCCCCCCACGGCACCTTTGTCAACAGCTGCCAGGTCCAGAATGCGGCCGTGAGGGTGAGGCCGGGGGATATCCTGCGCTTCGGCACCGCGGGAGCCGCCTTCGAGCTGGTGCTGGATGGGGCTGCCCAGGTGAGGCTTGGAGGGGACTGCCCTGGGAAGGGTGCCCAGGAAGGGATGGAGTGCTTGGTGATCCCAGGGAAGGGTGAGTGGGTTCTACTGCCCGAGGAAAGGTGCCCAGGGAAAGGTGGATGGGGATGTCCAGGGGAAGTTGCCAAGGAAGGGTGAGTGGGAGGGTGGGTGAGTGGTGCTGCCCAGGGAAGGCTCCGGGAGCAGGAAGAGGATCCCAGGTCTGGGCAATCCAGAGGAAAAGGCGAGGGGGGGGAAATGAAAAGCTGGAGCTCCCTCTGCTGAAGAAACTCGGGCGGTTCGGTAGGGAAATGAAAAATCAGGGGACAACGGTGCATAAGCAAAGGTAAAACTGGAAAATGTGCTTTTCCTCTATTTGCATTTTGTGTTTCCTCCCAAGCCACTTACTGAGAGGGAAGTTGGGGTTTACATCAAACCTAGAGGAACGGATAAGTTTCAATATCATTTTCATTATTGAAGAGTCCAAGATGCTGGTGGGGTAAAGCCAGACCCTGCTGGAGCAGTGAGCAGCTGAATTCCCAAAGGCAGGGTTTGCACAGCAGTGCAGAGAATGCCCGTGGGGTGCCTTTTCCTTACTCGGGGCTCTCTGATCCTCCTTTGGAGGAGCAGCTTTGAAGCCTGACCCTGCTGACTGCAGGGAAGGAACCACCTCGGAGTTGCACGCTGTGAGGTGTCTGACAGAGGGAGGGATCACTCCCCTGGAGTCTTAGAGGAACACGTTGTACAGAGGAGCAGCACCCGGCTGGGAATCGCATCCTGCCGTGCCTCGAAGCGCAGGACAAGTGCCAAGACAGGGACAGTGGAAGGCTTTGGTGGAATCCCAGTGTAAGCAAGAGCAACAAGGCTTGGATGTGCTCCAGGAGAAGGGAAGGTGCTGGAGTGGCAGGGAGCACTCACTGGGGGTATGGGCTCTGTTAAACAGCCAGGTGTTGGAGGGCCCACATCCAGGCCAGGTCCAATGCCATGTTGGTAAATGTTTAGTGCAGCCCCTGTAACTGAGACCTTGACAGTGGCTTGTCCTCAAGGTACTGGAAAGATCAGGAGAACAGCTAGTGTCCTAAATTTGGGTGTGACATGCCCAGCATAAGGTCTGATAAATGTGATGGGAAGGCAGGAGCACAGCGAGGGGCTTTGGTTCAGGTGGGGTGAATGGGAGAAACGATGGGGTAGGATCATGTGTGAGCCAGGAGAGCTGGGAAAGGAGCACCTCTGAATCGTGCAAATGATGTGCAGAATTAGGGCAGTCAGATGGAGAGGGAAAAGCTCAAAAAGCAGCAAACCCCAATGATTTCCTCCTGCTTCAGCAACGAGTCTGAATGCCCTGATTAAAATCCTATCCTTGGGCAATGGAAATGGGAAAGGACTAAAACCCTGCTTCCACTGAGATCTGTGCCTGGGTTTTTTGTGGCACGGTGCACGTGAATCCAGGGCTAAAATCCTTGCTGATAACGTGGTCTTTTCCCCTCGTAGATGTCCCATCCCCCCTTGAAACGCCGCACAGGGTGGACGGGGCAGCTCCAGGTGGTTGCAGAGCCCAAACCCTCAGCTCCTGTGTCTCCTCCCCGCCTGCCCTTGCTGCAGTGGCAGCATCCCCCTGGCTCTCCAGGCAGTGGGACTCGTGGAGCCCCCACCCACCAGCCCCATCCACCGCTGCTGAGGAGACCCCTGAGCGCCTGGGGCAGGAGCGTGGCCAGCGCTGCCTCTCTGGACACCTTCAGCAGGACCTCTGCGGTGAGGGCAGGTAATCCACGATCCCACACCCAAACATTTGTATCCTGGTGTCCTCACAGAGCAACCTGGCACCGAGTGGAGTTGGTTGGAGTGGAGAAGTGATGAGTGTTGAGCAACCAGCTGTGAGTCCGTGTCCAGCGGAGCTGATCAGAGACCATGTGTGGTCCTGGGTGGCATTGGGGTCAGGGAAGAAATGAGCCGTGACACCCCAAAGGGAATGCTGTTGCCCTTGCAGAGGGATGTTTCCTCTTTCTTTTTCCTGGTGTGTGACCCTGAAGAGCGATGACTGATTTTATCTGCACCAGTGACTCATGTACCTATTCCTGACTCCTGTTTGAAGTGGTGTTTTTTCCTCCTTTGAAGTGGCTGCCTCAAGTGCAGGAACTTTAAAGCATATCCATAGCTGATATGCCTCTGGAAATAAAGTATGTGATAGCAGCAAGGCACAGGTGAGGGTTTGGGACAATAGAATAGCTGGAGAACATGACTTCTGACATTAATGTTGTGGCCTGATGCACGATGCTGTGGTTTTCCTGTGTGGGGCTGGGTTTTTTGGAGTCATAAGCAACACAAAGTCAATAGTAGGGTGCCAAAATACAGAGCAGGGGCAGCACTGTGCAGTCCCAGCAGTGGCTGAACTGGAAACCACAGTGAGGGCAAAGGGGTAGGCACATACCCCTCTGATTTTTGGGGAACAAAGCCAAAAGGATCCCCATGACAAAAATGCACAGCTTTCTGCAGTGCTGGGCAGTGCTGGAAAAGCAGAGGAGCCTTTCTCTGCTGTTTCTCTGCTGCTCAGAGGCTTTTCTGGTTCCCAGAGGTGAATTATTCCTCTCTGTTGTGCAGACTGTTCATGCTGTGTCATTTTAGTGCCAAATAGGTTGTTTCCCGCTGGTTGTGAACTGAGCTCATGCCCTGAACAGTGGCCACTTCCTTGGAGTAGTTTTGGGACAAAGGATGCTGCAGGGAGCGTTTCTGCTTGCCTGCAACCACCTCTCATGCTGATATTTACTGCTGCTGTTTTTGTTGTTTCTTCCAGTCTCAACCAGCTCCTCAGGTGATTGTGCAAGCAGCGTGGGGGGAGCCCCTTCCCTGGGGACTCACAACAAGGATCTCCTCCAGCAGGAGAAGGTGATGCTGGGGCGGGATTGAGGAATGCCATCCCTGTCCTGGGCCTTGGCAGAGCAGGAGAACCCTGCCAAATGGCCTTGTGCCCCACTAGGAGTCCCAGCAGGGTGTGGGGTGCCTCCCAAGGGGTCTGCAGTGGAGGATGGGGACAGTGGGTGGCTGGGGGATGTGGGGGGCCAGGGTGAGCAGGTCCCACACTGATGGCCATGAGCTGGTGTCCCTGGGCAGGAGCAGCTGCAGACTGGCCAATGGCACCTGCAATCTGCCCTCAGGGTGAGAAGCTGCTGCAGCTGGAGCAGGAAATGGGTCACCTGTCTGGTTTGGAAACAGAGTCAAAGCGCAAAGACGTGGTGATAAGAGATCTGCAGGAGGAGGTCGCGGCCATGGCAAAGAAACTGGCCCAGGCGGCGGCGAGGAACGAGGTTGAGCTGACCCAGAAGCTGCTGGCCTTCAACCAAGAGCTGGGAGCCAAAACAGAGGAGATCAAAGCCCTGAGGGAACAGGTACCGGATGCTTCCATAAGCACCAAGCAGGGAAAACACCTCTCTGGTACAAGTTTGTAACGTAACAAAGGTGGGGGAAAGCAGGTCCCATGTCTGAAACCAAGGAAAATGAGGGAGGTGGGTTTTTCCTTCCCTTTTTTCTTTTTTATTCCTTCTTTTTTTCCTTCCTTCCTCCTCCATGCCTCTGGCATTAGGATGTCATCAGGAACAGCCAAAGCACATTTAAGGTGGTGCTATTTGAAGCAATGACTGCTGAGAGTTAGTCAAAGATGCTAAAGAGCAATCCCATCAAACCAGGACCTGGATGTGCCAGATTTCCCTCTCTGAAGGGGCTGTGGCAGGGTCAGTGAGTGATTGGGTGAGGAACACAGTGAATCTGTGTTTTGCAGATCAGTGACCTGCAGAAAGGCTCGAGCCAGGTTTTCAGCCATTCCCTCTATGAAAGAGACCTGGAAATTGGGAGGCTCCGGAGAGAAAGCGAGAAGCTGAAGAGGGACCAGGCTTTGACTGCAGGTATTGTGTCCCTGGAGCTCTGGGTCAGGGCATGAAGCAGTTTGGGACTGGTTCTGGATAAAAGTGAACACTGGCCAAGCTATCCAGATTTGTAGTGGCTTGTAGAAATCATAAATTCCTGGAATGGTTTGGCTGAGAAGGGACCTTAAAGAACATTTTGTTCCTACCCCCTGCCATAGACAGGGACGCCTTCCACTAACCCAGTTGCTCTAAGCCCCATTCAACCTGGCCTTGGACACTTCCAGGGATGGAGCAGCTACAACTTCTCTGGGCAACCTGTGCCAGGGCCTCACTACCCTCACCAGGGAAGAATTTCTTCACAATATTTCATCTAAATGTTGCACTTGTGTAACCTCTCACCAGGGAAGAATTTCTTCACAATATTTCATCTAAATGTTGCACTTGTGTAACCTCTCACCAGAGTTGTTTTTCCCAGGCCTGGTGAGCAGCCTGCAAAGGGAGGTCCTGCAAAAGGAGCAGAAAATCCAGCAACTCCAGCAAGAGATTGAAAAACTGAAGAAGGAAAATCGAGAGAAGGGCAACCAGCTGGCAGTTGTTTCTGCCAAGGTTGGCAGGACTAACGAGGGGCCTCAGTAATTCATGGTCTCACACAGGGGTTAAGGTGGGAAAGCAGGTGGAGAAGAGTTGTGCTTCTCCCTTGTGAGGACTGTAGCAGCTGTATGTGGATGGTTGTTTGTTGGGGGGTCCCGAGGTGAGTCCTGGCTGCACACAAACAGGAGTCACACGACTGTCCCACTGGGACGTGGTGGTGACGGTCCCATGGTCACATCAGGGTGATGCCCACGGATCAGGGTCCCCCTCCCCAGCTGGACCTCCCTCCTCCCTCAGCATCACCGTGTGCCCTGGATTCCTGTGAGCACAGGAGCTGTTTGTACACACAAAGCTCTCATGCCAAGATCCTCCTGAGGAGCCATGGAAACCCCATCCTGGGGGGATGGGGCTCCCTGTGGGCTGGGCCGGGATTTTCCCTTAAAGAAAGTGGCTTGTGCAGCAGGTTGTCCCTCTGTACGTGCAGCTCCTCCTCAGCTGATGATCAGTGTGATAAGGGGCAGAGGCTGCACAGGCTCTATGGGATTGCCAGGGGTTGCCTGGGAACCACAGAATCGCTGAGCTTGGAAATAACCTCTAAGATCATTGAGTCCAACCATTCCCCAGCACTGCCAAGGCCACCGCTAACCCGTGTCCCCACGTGCCACCTCTGCACCTCTTATAAATCCCTCCAGGGGTGGCAACTCCACCACTGCCCTGGGCAGCCTCTGCCAGTGTTCCATTCACAGCAGGAGCGATGGTATCTGCTGCTCTGATGGATATTTTCCTTGGTTGCCATTCCTCCTAGTGCTCGAGAATTAAAGAGGAAACGAAGCGCGAGCTTGGAGAGCAAGAAATAATCAGCTGTCGAAATGTGAGTTGAAAGTTTTTTGGGGTGATGGAGCACAGGGCTAAGCAGTGGCTGCAGGAATGCATCAGCCAGGGAATAATTAGCTGGGCATTGTAAGGGAGTTGTTTGGAATTCAGCTCGTGCACTGGAAGGCGCATAATGGGACTAAACACCCAGGGAAGTGTAAACTCCATAGGATTTGTGATGCTGTGTTACCAGGCAGGGGGGATGTGACCAGAAATCAGGTTGGAATTCTGCTGGTAAGCTGACAGAATCATAGTAAATACAGGTTGGAAGGGAATTCCAGGGTAAGCAAAGTGGATTAGAGGGGGAAAACACCTTGTTTGTGGGTGGAAGTTTTCTGGAGAGGCAATGCCCAGTTCCTCTGGTGAGACCCCACCCTCCCCATGCTCTTGCAGCGCATTGGGGAGCTGGAACGGGACCTGGAGGGGCTGCAGATGGAAATCCAGAAGCATTGTGCCAAGCAGGAGGCCGTCCAAAAGCAGCTGGCTGAGAAAGCCAAGGTAAGTAGCCAGCTGAGGGGGACACAGGGAGGCCAGGTGTGTCCTGGTGAGCCCATGGCAGGTCTCTCAGCCACCTGACAGGGGTGAAAGGTGGGTGGGATGAGGACCAGCAAGTCCCAAGAGAGCAGGCTCCTGGGTCAGGAGTACAGGCAGGGAGTCCTGTGCAGGCAGAAGGTCCAAATTTCTGCCATGGACACCGAGAGAGGAAGAAATAATTCAGACAGCAGAGTGCCCTGTGTGGGTGTTGGGTGAGGAAGTCAAGGATGGACAATGTCCCAGGCAAAAAGTGCCACGAAAGGTCCGACGCTGCAGTCCCACCCCTGCGACAGGATTGCTGCCTGCCTCCTGGCGTTCCAAAGGTACCTTTGGAGTTTTCAGATGGTCACCCTGAGGTGCCAATGCTCCGCTGGTTGCAGGTGGAGGAGGAGCTGGAGGCAGCCTGTGCCCGGCAGGCGGGGCAGCTGCGGGAGATGGGGCGCAGGGAGCGGCTGCTGCGAGCGGACCTGCGGCGGGCAGGGGAGCAGGTAGGGATGGGCAGGGGTGGGAGCATCACCCCTGGGACCACGGGCAGCACAGGGACTGGGCTTCCCATGGGGGAGGATGTGGTGCAGGAAACAAAAGCGCAGAGTCCTGAGCGCCAAAGCCTGGCAGGGGACTTGTCGTCAGGTGAAGTATAAAAGGCTTATCCACAGGATTTGTGTGGGCAGCATAGATGATGGAGCAGTTTAACAGGATAAAAAAAAAGGATTCTATAATCTTAGTTAAGCTGTCTGGGACCCACACAAACCCTCCTCCATGCCTGGGTAATGCTGCTCTGGCAGGGACAGCCCTTTGCAGAGCAACACCCTGCTAGATATCGATGATCAATTATCATCAGAGATGATCAGTTATGCTCAGTGATCAGTGATGTTTGTTTTCCTACGTCAATCCTTGCTGCAGCTGGAGTCCTTCAAGACCCAAGTGATGCAAGTCTGTTCTCCATCAGCAGCAGGCAGCACAGGGAAATCCATAACGGAGCAGCAGGTGAGTTGGATGCCAGCTCATGGTGCCTCCAACACCCGGTGCAGCTCAAGGCAGATGCTGCAGAACAGCCACAGTGCCTGCTCTGTGGCTGTCCCAGGTTAATGGCACTGCTCCATGATGTGAGAGAGACACAGTCTGTGTCCCAAAGCTTGGATGGAGTCATGGGCTGCAGCAGGGACAAGCCCAGGGGCCTGACGGGGCTGCCAGTTTGCAGCAAGTCTTGATTGATTGTCACTGAAACCATCCATGGTCCCTCAGCTGGAAAAGGGTATGAATATTGTGCCTTATTCTCCTCTTCTCCACCTTTGCCAGGTGATAGAGAGGGTCAGGCAGATCTGTGATGAGAACCAGCAGAGCCATGAGAGGGAGAAGTGTCTGCAGGACGAGTTAAGCTCCAGGCTCACGAAGGAGAAGGAGGTGTCTGCAAACACTGAGGTGCTCAAGAACTCCCTGTGGGGGCTCCAGGTCAGTCCTTTAAATACCGAGGACCCAGTGGCAGTTGGGAGATGGTGGCACAGGGCATTTTGTTGGTCTGAGGATAGGTTAGAGAGACAGCCCCTGGAGCAAAGTGTCATCCCAAAGCATTCAAGTGGCTGTTCCCAGCAGTTTGTCATAGAATCTGAGAATGGTTTGGGCTGGAAGAGACCTTAAAGCTCATTTCATTGCACCCCCTGCCATGGGTGGGGACACCTTTCACTAGACCAGGTTGCTCCAAGCCCTGTCCAACCTGGCCTGAGATGTTCAGAGAGGTTGTGTCATTTGCCAAGTCCCTGAAAGCTGTGGAGAATGGCTCATTCCCCAATGGTTCCATATTTTTCCAGGCTTGCCTGAGGAGCTCCTGCAGCAGCGCCAGCCTGCGAGGGGAGCTGGAGCAACTGGAGGTGGCGTCCCTGGATCCCCCCATCTCAGCCATCAGGACAGCAGTGGTGGACATGGCAAGTGTCCCCCTCTCCTGGCTGCAGGACCTGGAGCAGCTCCTGGCCAGTGCAGGGATGGACCTGTGCACCTCTGGCCAAGGTCTGTGTCCTTCTGGGCATCCCTGGGAACACCTGCACCAGGTGGGTTGTCCTGGCGAGCCAGAGACAGAGGAGAAAATCCAGCCCGAGCTGCTCCTTGTGGAGAAAATCACAGAATTTTTAAGGCTGGAAAATACCTCCAAGGTCATCGAGTCCAACCATTAACCCAGCACTGCCAGGGCCAGCACTCAGCCAGGTTCCCAAGTGCCACATCCACACACCTTTTGAACACTTCCAGGGATGGTGACTCCACCACTGCCCCAGGCACCTTGTTCCAATGCCTGACCATCCTTTCCATGAAGAAGTTTTCCCTAGTATCCCTCATATGCTGTGTGAGCACCCCACACAGCGAGGTTGTGTTGACTTCTGCAGGGTTGTTGGCTGCCTTCAGGAGCTTGCTGGGAAAGAGTCAGGAAATGGCACAGAGGAATCAGCTGTTGCAGGTAAAGAAATATTTATGTACATGAACCATGTACATTTGGAATCTTCCTGTGGTTAAACACGGTGGTAATCCCAAGTGAGCCAGTGTGGGGCCTGGACTGGGGATGTGCAGTAGCCAAGGTTCCTGGGTCTGCAGGAAATGCAGGGGAAAGGAGACCCTTTTGGGAATTGTTTGTGAGTGAATGTTCACAGGAGGTTTATTTCTTCCCCTGCTGCTGACACACTTCCTTTAATACCTCGGTGTCTCCCTGCAGGAGCAATTAGAGAAGCTCCAGCAGTCGCAGGCAGAGATGCTGCAGGAGAACAAAAAGGAGCTGGAAGCAAAACATGAGCAAGACTTGGAGATAAAAATCCAGCAAATTATCCTGGAAAAGGACAAGGAGAACAAAGAGGTACAGTGATATGGTTGGTGGTTTGGAAAGGGAATGTTATATGCAGGAAAAACGGGTGTCTGTAAGAGTGTTGGTTATTAGAAGGAGGAATCTCTAGCTTTGAACTGTCTGGGTGCAGTGCTAAGAGCTTTATGGGATCCCAGGAGGATATAGAATATCCCCCTGTGTGGATGCAGGTGATGTAAACACCCCCAAAGCATCCATGGTGGCACTGGGAAGCACCTGAGGGTAACAGGATGCACGGGTGCCAGTCAGTCCCTGGGAGAAAGGGGAAAGCAAGGAGCATCTTTCCCATGTGTGAGCTTAGGGAAACACTGCATGGCTTCCTCTCAAGCCCTCTGCTCCCTCCCTCCCCGTGCTGAGCTCCTGTCTGGGTCTGTTTTAGCTGGAAAAGGATATCCCTGTGAAGCAGGGACCAGCAGTCTCCCTCCATCCCAGGAAAGCCCAGGCCACAGTGCTGGTGGCTCTGGTGTGGGATGCAGTGTTAGTGAGGGTGCAAGCTGGTGTTTTGCCATGCCTGTGTTGTGGTGGGGACAGCAGGTCATGGTGGCCTTGTAACACAGTTTTCTACTGTGTTTCTGTGTCTGGTGCCTCGGGAATGGTGGTTTCCTGGTGTTGATTTTTCTAAGGACTCAGGCAAAGGAGCAGCCAAGCAGCTCCTCCCTGGTCTCTTGGTTGTACCTTTCCCCAGGTGCTCCCATCCACTCCCTCACTGAGTCACCTCGGGTCCTGCCAAGCTTTTCTCCCATCACCTGCCCCTGCTCTGGAGCAGTGACCCTCCCTGCTGCTTTCCTCCTTGGAGCTGAGGTCTTTTTCCTAAGGCCATGATTTTTTTCTGTTCTGTGGTCTATCAATTCCCAGGTTCTGGAAAGCGCTCTCGCCGAGGAGAAGGACAAGTGTGAGAAACGTGTGGAGGAAGAGCAGAGGAAGATCCAAGAGCTGGAAAGTCACCTGAGAAGCATGGCTGAGGTGAGCATGGGAAGTGAAGCAGAACAGCTCACCCTTGGAGTGAAGAAATGGGCAATCTGTGCTGTAATTTGGTGCTCCAAGGGCCCAAATCAGTGGACTAGGGGTTTTCCTCCTCAAATACACAGAGATGCATATCTGCAGAGAGAAAGGGGGATTCCTGGCTAGCTTAATTACTGCTAATTTCATCCTGTAGGCAACAGCAAGGAAGGCAGAGAAGCAGGAGGTGATAGAGGGCAAACTGAAAGAAGCTTTGCGTGAGCTGGAGGAAACCACTGCCCGAGAGGTACCTGTGTGTGCAGGTGGAGGGCACAGTGTTGGTGAAGAAGGGTTCCCCCATCCCTGAAATCCTTCCCTTCCCTCCGTCCTTCCAACAGCTGGCCAGGAGAGGTGATGCTGATGGTGATCCCAAAGGAAACCATCAGCTCCTCCAGCCATTCTCCCACATCTTGTTTCCCAGGTGTCGTTACAGCAGCAGGTGCTGGTACAGGACGAGCAGCTCAGGGCTCTCCAGGAGGAAAAGGAGCTACAGGGGCAGAAACTGCAGGAAGAAATAGCAGGATACAGGGAGCAAAGCAAGCAGCATTCCCTGACCATCGTGGCTTTAGAGGGCAGGCTGCTGGAGGCCACGCAGGAGCAGAAGGTGCTGGAGGAGGAAAAGGCAGCACTTGTGGAAAAAATGGAAGGTAGGTAAGGGTTGTATGGGATGCACCTGTCCCAGGAACCTGCTGGGTTAACGTGGAGTGTTTGTGGAGAGGGAGTAGTGAATCTGCTGCTGTGGAAAGTGTTGGGTAGGATGTTGGATGGAGCTTTGCCCACGTGCAGGACAAGGTCCATGAGTCCCTGCAGAAGCCATTTCATTGTTTGGTGGGTTTGAAGAACTGTTGGTAAAAAGGGCTTTGCCACTGGAAAAGGACTCTTTACCCTCTAAAACAACAAGACTGGAGCACTTTGGGCAGCACCTAGGCAGAAGAGATCCCAAGCCAGACGGGATGTTGGGAACTGTCCAAGCCCTGCTGGAAGTGGGCTCTAAGAGACATGGATTTCTCAAAGAGAGCCCTCAGTCCTTGAAGTTGCCATGAAGGAAAGGATTGTGTTGCAGAAGCAGCAGAACAAGTGTGCAAGTGTTACAAAGAAGTGGTGGGCCTTTTTTCTTGTGTCCTGTAGGAACTCAGCGTGGTGCCCACAAGTCAGGATCGGGAGCTCAGCTGGAGGTTTGTCCTGCCATGGAGTCACACATTTGTCTGGGGTGAGCAGCTCTCGCTGGTGGTGGTCAGAGAGGCTTGGAGAAAAGCAGGGACCACTGTGAGACCCTAAGGAAGTCCAAGGAGACTTGTCCCAAGATCTTTTTAGTCTGGGATGGGACTCTTTTAGTCCCTTTGCTAGGCAGAGGTGTTCCTAAGGGCATGGAGCATCCAAGTGATGCCAAACAGCACACGAGGATGTGCCATCCCATCCAGATGGCTCCAGGTAAGAGCAGGCAGGGTGGCCAGACCCACTCCACAGGGTGACCTCAGGGGAGCAAAAGGCAGGGAAAAAAGGAACGTGTGAGTGTTCATCAGAAGATGCAGTGTAGGAAGGTGTGTGTGTGTACTCTGTGAAATGAGGCCTCCCATGAGCTGTGAGATTTGCTCTGCTCTTTCCCAGGAAACTGCGGGAGGAGCTGGCAGTGGCTCAGAACCTGCTCCTGGAAAAGGAGGCCTTCATTGGCAGGCTCACCAGGGAGCTGTCGGAAAGCAGGGCCAGGATGTCGGACATGAGAGGTGGGTGATGTGCACTGAGTGGCTGTGTCACTGTCCCAGCCCTCCTCCAAGCAGTGATGATGGGTGGTGTCAGTGCAGTGGGCACACACAGGACTTGGGGAACTGATGTCACCATCCTCTGGCAATGCTGTTGTCCTGCTGGGAGCAAAGCAGGCAAGCCTGTTCCCTTTGGGAAGGTGAATTTCTCCCCATCCTTGGCTAAGCAGTGGCAGTGATGGTGAGCAAGGCAGATAAGCAAAGGAAGATCAGGTGGACAAACTGAGACCATCTTCCTCAAAATCACACTGGTGAGCTCCTTGGAGCTGGAAGTATCCCAAGCCAGTGGACTGGGAGAGCCTTGCCTGGCTTTCCTCCATGAGCAGGGCTGTGAATGTGGGGACAGAGCCCACGAGGAACGTGCAGAGGTCAAAGGATGCAAGTGTGAAAATGCTGGCAATCTGTTCCTCTCCAATCTGAAGGAAAATTGCCTCAACAAGGAATTGCCCTGGGATTTAGTAAACCAGGATGTCCTGTTGGCATGGCCCAGGGTCTGAGGGCAGCTGTGAAGGGCAGGGCAGGGCTCTGTGGGGATGAACTCTCTTATTGTTGCCAACTTCCATGAGGGTGAACTGGAAAAAGGGGATGTATCCATGAATGCCAGCTGCAGATCCCCCAGGACTGGGTGATGAGTCAGCCAGCATCCCACGAGGCTGGTTTTGCACTTAGGGGAGCTGAGCGAGGAGCAGAAGGTGGAGCTGGAGAAGAACCAGAGATGCCTGAAACACCGGGAGCAGGAAGTGAACCAGCTCAGGGAGAAGCTGTCCCACATGTCCAGCCTCATGGAGGAGAAGGATCAATCCCTGAAAGCAGCAGCTGAAGAGTTAAGGTACACACTGACATGACCCAAGGTTCCACCAATGCCACTCTGCGGGTCCCAGGCAGCTGATGGTGTTCAGGGCTCTCCCCAGAACAAAAGGCACATGTGAGAGCACCAGGATGGAGCTCAGCTCCATTGCACTGATATCCACTGCCATGGGAACCGAAATGGGGGTTTAGTGGAGCTCGTGCCAGCAGATGTGTAACCAAGTCACTTGTAACTAAGCGAGTGTTCCCACCCACACCGTGGTAGTCATGAGTGGGTGCCCAGGGTGCTGCTCTCCACAAGCTGTTCGGGTCACATGGAACGTGTGACAGAACATGCTCTTGGCATGTTCCATCCCCCACGGCGTCCCACAATGTCTTGTGTCCCGGCGCAGGCGAGCCCAAGCCCGTTGCCATGTGCTGAGGGACGCTTCCCAACAAACAGTGGAAAAGCCGGAGGATGCTCCCAGGACACCAGTGCGGGCGGGGGAAGCCTCCCAGAGGGTGAGTCCCCGCGGAGGGCACCGAGGTGAGGGTTTGCCGAGAGCACTGATGGTGCCTTTCTCTGCTCCACGCTGGCAGGAGGGTGGGAGCACCACATTCCCCAAGCCGAGGGCTGCCTGTGCCGCCTGAGAGTCCCGGGTTCTCGCGCTGCAGCCCCGGCGTTGATGCTGCTTAATGAGCTGATGTTTGCACAGCACTTTGGAACATGCAAAGGGTTGTGTGTGCTAATGGCTGTGCTAATTGCCAATTAGAGGCGATGGCAACATGCGAGCGTTCCCTCCTTTTCCCAACTTATGGAGCCCTCGACGCTGTACAGGTGATGCAGAACCAGTTCTGGGGTGGTACGTGCAGGAGCAGGGGCAGCTCATCGCACAGGACAGGAAGAAACGCTCCTCATTCCCCTGTGCCAAACTCCTATTTGGTTTCCCCGTGGCTGGAAAAGGGAAGAACTCGCAGGTGGCGGCAGCGGCAGATGGAGGGACTGCAGGAACTGTACATTCTGTGCAGGAACGGTGGCAGCCAGCAGCGTGCCAGCGGGGCCGGCTGGCTGCGCGGGGGCCGGCGGTGACTCACAGCCAGCTGACGGGAGAGGGAGGGAGGTATCGCCGGTCCTGCTCCACATACCGGGATGAGGAGGGGAAGAAGGGCAGAGGGCTGGTCGTGCTGTTCGGCAGAGCTGTGGCGTGTGACAGTGGCTGGACCCAGAACTGGGAGTCTGCAGCCATCGTTAGTTGTGCACAGGGAGTGCGGTGGTGGGACAGCCCCACCACAGATTTTTGGATGTTTGTCGTAATGCAGGGGTCTGCACCGGGCTGGGAGAGGGCAGTGCACGTGTCTGTGTGCACAGGTGTCACTTAATAGAGAATAATGCCCACGGCTGGGTAGGAACACAGTCTAGAAAGTGTACTGGTGTTTGTGTGTAGATGGTAAGTGCTCTGTGGTAGTGGAAAGGGCAAGAGAAAAATGCCAGCATGGCTGTTCAGAGACATTGCACTATCCCTCTCCTGGCTCTCTGGAACATTTGCAGGGCCCATGTCCTCACTGTGGCACAGTGGAGCAGGAAAGGGGTCTCTGATGAGTACCTTTTATCCCTCCAAATCCATGGAGATACTCCTTAGGCTTTGCTCTTGGCATGTGCCAAGTGACCGGTGTCTGGCTGTGTTTAAGCCAGATTTAAGCTGAGCTTGGGCTGAGCCAGCTGCAGGCTGGGTGAGAACAAGCTGGGGCTGCTTCTTCCAGGTGCCATCGTTGGACTTGGCTGACCTCGGTGCAAAGTGCCGAGGCCTCAGGCACGAGGAAACGATCCAGCGCCAAAAGGAAGGTCTGGCCGAGCTCCGGCAGAGAGTAAAGATGCTGGAGAAGAGGCAGAGCTCAGGTGAACAGGGAAGCATGGAACAGTTAGAATCGTGGAATGGTTTCAGTGGGAAGGGGCGTTAAAGCTCATCCCATTCCACCCACTAGCCCAGGTTGCTCCAAGCCCCATCCAACCTGGCCTTGGACACTTCCAAGGATGGGGCAGCCACAGCTTCTCTGGGCAACCTGTGCCAGGGCCTCACACCCTCCCAGGGAAGCTGAGAAAAGCTGGCCAGCCTCAAAGTGGCTGAGGTGTGAAACCATGGTGTGTTGCATCACAATTTGGTGGCTGTTTGCCTCCAGGTGCTGTGAAGAAGGGTTTGGAGCCACTGGTGAAAGACTTACCAGAGGAGATAGTCCAGCACACAGGGCTTGAGATGGAGCCTGCACCCATATCAGGAACAAAATTGAAGGCTGGCAAGGTAAGGAAGCAGTTTGGGGGCTGTGCTTGCTGTGGCTTAGTTGGAAAAGTATTCCCTGGAATAGAGAGAATGAGGCTTTCAGAGATGCTAAGTAAGTCTGTCCCTGTCTGTGCAGGCTCCTGGCCATGTTCCTATTGGGGGCTCCCTCAGGATCACCAATAGGGCAGCGAGCTTGGAGAGGGCTGAGGTGACAGGCCTCGGTGAGCAGATGGTACGTCAGGGACAGACGTGGTAAATCGTGTGTAGAGCGCGTGTCCGTGCCCAGTGGGTGTAGAGTTCAGAAGGTTTGTGAACGCATTTCAGAGCTGGGTGACTGGCAGGGCTGTGCAGGACCACTGAGGCTGAACTGCTCTGGGGTCCAGTTGAAGACATGGCATGGGGGTTGGATTGGATGACCTTTAAAAGTCCTATGATTTTATGGTCCAGGGCACACTGGGTGTCTACCAGGACATCTCAGGACCACAGAATGTGCCACGGCACATCATTCTTCCCTTTCCACTGAAGGCCTTTGGGGTGTTCCCCCAGGCATTCAGGGCTGATCTACAAGGAGAGGCAGGGTAGGTGAGAACAAAGACCTTCACCAACATAGGTGGATGATGCAAGAGACACTGGGACACTATGGAGGGGGCTGCCAGAGGAGGGGTCTGTGAGTAGTGCAGCTGGTGGGGTCTCTTCCCTCCAAAAAGGGCAGGAAAACATCCAGCAGGGGAAATGGTCACATTGGAAATGGAAACAATCCAATCCCAATAACCTGGGAATGGAACACGAACCCACTTTCCTTGGGACACTGTCATCTCCTCAGGAGAGCAGACGGAAAGCAGATGGCTGAGCAGTGTGATGGAATGCAGCAAACCTGGTAAACAATGCATTCCCTCTTCTTCCCTCAGTACCTTGATGTGATCGGTGCTCTGGGAAGCCTGATGGAGATGAAGGAGCTGTCGGGAATGCAGCCCCTGCAGCACCTTCCTCGGGAGGAGAGGGAAGAAGCGGGGCTGCAGAGACAGAAGGCCCTGGAGCTGCTGTGCAAAAAGATCAGGAACCTCCAGCATCGCCTGGAGAGGAAAGAAGAAATGCTAAAAGATTACGAGGGAAGCATGGAGCAGTTGAGGTGTGGAAAAGCAAGGTCATGGTATAAAAATGAAATGTTAGGAGAAATGGGGAAAGGTTCTCCCAGTTTTCTGCGCTGGTACCTCGTGTGGCCTGATGTGGTTGAGCAGAGTTAGAGCTGGGGAAGCCTTGGCAGACTCCCTTGTCTGGGGTGGCTGGGGCCTGGGGCGGCAGCAGCATCATCTGGGGAGGAGGGACAGTGTCAGCAGGACCAGGGCAGGCATGGGAGGGCCCAGCTGGGCGCTGGGGGGGTCGAGGCAGGTGACAGACCGACAGAATCCCCCCTCCTGGTTTGCACAGGCAGAACCAAGCGTCCCTGCGGAGGTGCCAGGAGGAGATGTCCAACCTGGAAGATGAAGCCCACAGGGAGGCAGAAGAGAAGGCTCTGCTGCGAGAGGCTCTGGAGAGGACCCAGCTCCAGCTGGAGCGGGAGAAGAGGCTGCGGCGAGCGGCCAAACGGCACAAGGTGAGCGGGGCAGGAGCAGGTGACACCCAACTCCTGCACTTTGTACAGCAGTATGCTGGAAGCACAGGTGGAGTGGTTGGTCAGACCATCCCAAGAGGCTGGAGGTCGCAGGGTCCTGCTGCTCAGCCAGCTCAGCATCGTGGCAGCACCGCCCTGCCAAAATTGGAGGTGGTGCAGGCAGCTGTAGCGATGGGTTTGGGCCATGTCAGGACCTCTCATGGGTGAAATCTGTGTCCAATGTGTTTCTGTTCTGCAGCCTGGAGCCACGAAGGAGGCTCAGGCGAACCAAGAGCCAAAGAGCACACGGCAGATGCTGTCAAGAAGGGAAACTCACAAGAGAGGCACCACAGGGGCATGCAGCAGGTGATGGTCTGTGGTAGGAACGAGTCATCACTGTAAACTTGGTGATGGTGGAGCTGGCTTGAGATGTGGGTACACTTTGAGTAGCTCCTGTTGGCGTCCTGTAGCTCTTGGGCATGCTGGTGTGACAGTGCAGTGTGTAGGACCTAATTTGCCAGCAGTCTGTGTCCCACACAGCATGGTGGGATTTATGGCAATGGGAGAGGTGGCGAAGATACAACCTGACCTATACATGTGTGTATTTATTTGTGTGTGTAAATACAGCCATGACATGTGAAGTCAATTGTGTGGGGTCTGTCCTTTCCTTGGCTGAAGTGGCCTTGAGCACACACAGCTTGAAATATCCCTTGCAACTCCCGTATCCTCCGGTCCCTGTGGTGCCTTGGGGGAACTGGATCATAAGGCATGATGTGGTATGGAATTCCAGAATTCCTGGAACACCCCAGGAACACTGGAGCTGCCACATGGGAAGGGGAAAGAAGAGAACCCATATCAGCCATGCTGGTACAGCAGCAGCATGAGGACAAGCTGGGGAGATTAGAGTGATGTACCCGTGGGTTGGGATGGGATGGTGGCACAGGGTCCCTCACCACCCACTGCTGCCATCAACTGAGGTCCCCTGCTCCTCTTGTCGTTAACAAGGGTGAGAGCAGACCCTGGTTTCTGGGGAGCAGCAGTGTTTCGGGGTCTCCCTGCAGGGAACAGGCAGCTCCAGCACACCCCGTCCCTGCAGCCGCTCTGCCCCAGCATCGCTCGGAGCGCTCCGTGTGCCGAGTCCTCTGCCTCACTTCAACCGAGGATAATTTGGATGTGAGCAAAGGCCCACTGGGGGTTTTTTGGTCTTTATTTTTTAATGGGATGAAAAGGTCTGGAAGCAGCAGCACGGTAGGGCTGTGGCAAGCTGATGCAGGGCTGTGGGGCATGCGCAGCACCCAGGGGTGCACAGCGGCCCATCCCTAATGGAAGTGGTGGTGCCATGGGGCTCCAGTCATCGATGTGGCCTGGTTTCCCCCCTCCCTATGCTGGGAGAAGCTGGATGCTTCCCTGTCTGCCTGCCTGGGCTTATTTTGGGGTGAGGCATGACCTTGATTGCCTGATGGAGGTTAAAGATGCTGCTGTGAGCATCCTCTGGGGGTGTAGGGCCATTCCATGTCTGTGTGTCCTCCCTGTCCCACCCTGGGTTGGGAATGGATGGAGCTGGTAGGAGCACAGGTGCTGTGGATGCACTGGGGGCTGCAGAAGCCCCTTCCCCTGCTTGGAGCCTATGGAATTGTGGAATTATGAGATGGTTTGGGCTGGAAGAGACTCTAAAGATGGCCCTGGGTGAATCCCACTGGGGAGTGGGACCTACTGGTGATGCCACTGGGGCCCTGGGGGATCACGGACTGGTTTGAGTTGAAAGGGACCCTAAAGATCATCCCGTGGTGATCCCACCGGGGGACGGATGAGTCCCGCCGGTGATGCCCGTGGAGGGGGCATCCGAAGGGACGATGATGGGCTGACAGAGGGCGGCGGGGCGGGGACCCCCTCCCGTGCCAGTGCGGGAGCTGGGGGCCGCAGCCCGGCCCCGGGGCGGTCCGAGGGGACGGTAATGGGCTGACGGGGGGCGGGCAGCCGGAGCCCCCCCAGTACGGGTGCGGGAGCCGGGGGGCCGCAGCCCGGCCCCGGGGCGGAGCGGGGCGGAGCGGCGCGGCCATCCGGGCACCGCACCATGGCGGCGGCGGCGGAGGAGCCGGAGGGGCGGCGGGGCCGGGGGCCGCGGCCGGGACCGGCACCGGGCAGCCCCGCGGGCCGGGCGGTGGGCGAGGGCTCGCCCGGGGGCGGCGGCGGCCGCCGCGTCTTCAGCCCCGCCGGGGAGTTCCGCGAGTTCTCCCGGCGGCAGCTCCGCGACATGGAGCGGCTCTTCCGACAGTGAGTGCGGGGGACTGGGAGGGGGGAGTTCCCCGGGTGGCAGCGCCGGGGCGGACGGGGGACCCCCGGCATGCCGCACCTCCGGCATCCCGGCATCCCTGCACCTGCATCCTCGGCATCCGTGCTCTTGCAATCCCCGGCATCCCCGGCTCCTGGCAGGGCAGATGTCCCAGCGCCTCCCGCCCCGTGCCTGCGGGCGGGACCCCCCCCCCATTCTTTGCGGGACGGATCCCCCATCCCTTGCGAGAGGTGCCCCCATGCCCCTCCAGCTCTTTGCAGGCGGGATCCCCCGGCTCCATGCAGGAGGCTCCCCCCAGCCCCAGCTCTGTGCAGGAGGGATGCTGGGACACCCCCAATTCCTTGCAGGACGGCCCCCCTTCCTGCCTCTCTCAGGAGGGATGCCAGGGACACCCCTCTCCTCCCAAGCCCCCCACAGGATTGATGCCGGGGACGCCTTCCCTCAGGTCCTGGCAGGAGACATTCCTGCGCACCTCTGAATTCTTGCAGGAGGGACCTCCCGTCCGCATGGTGGTCTGAGGCCAGAGAAGCGGGGCTGGAAGATGGGACCAGGGACCCCCGCATTCCCTCTGCTGCAGCACTGAGGGACCCCCCGCCCTCCCTGGCGCCCCCCGGGGCCGCAGCTGCCAGGCTGGCGTGTCCCCAGCATCCCTGCCCACTGCGTGCCACCACGCGTGGCGGAGCGTGACTCCGAGCACGAGCTCGGCCCCCGGCCCCTGAGGAGGAGGGGGGGGGATCTGGCGGCAAGCCTCGAACCCTGGAAATTTCCGTGGGGAGCCAGAAATCGGGGTGACTGCATCCCGTGGTCCTGCTGGGAATGCGCGGGAGTAGACAGGGCGAGCGGGACTCCGTGGGGCACCCATGGGTGCTTTGTGCGGGAAGCGTGGAGGCAGTGGGACGCCGGGAAGCGTGGAGATGGTGCAGGCGAAGGCATGTTTGCGGCATGCCAATACCCCCCACCCCATCTGGCACCGGGGGGGGGGGATCTGCGTCAGCGTCCCGGGTGGTCTCGCTCGGGCATGACCGAGGGGGTGGAGGAAGGGATGGAGGCAGCGACCCCCGAAACCCAAGGCTGGAGGGGCTGTGTAAGGGTGCACGCACACCCTGTCGTCACCCCTGGAAGTGTAGGGAGTCTCCCTGCTCCCGGTGTCTTCCCGGAGGGGGCCGTCACCCACCGCCCGGACACGGCAGCGAGCCAGACGGGCGGGTTGCTGCGACCATCTCATGGGACTGCAGCAGAAGGGAGCCTGCGGCGTGGGGGCACAGCTCGGGGTCCCGGGAGAGGGGAAGGGGGCACAGCTGCAGCTCCCGGTGCCGGAGGCGATGGGTGGCCGTGCCGGGGGTGCTCCGGCCGCGGCGCAGATGGCGGTGCGGGTGTCGGCGCCGCGCAGGCGACGGAGCGGGCGTGGGGAGCAGACGTGTTTGCTCTGACAGCTGCGGCGTCTCGCTGCAGCGAAAGGAGCAGCGCCGGGGAGGTTTGGGAGCCGGGGGGTGGGGGGAGTCTCCCAAGGGAAGGATGCTCTGGAGCACGCTGACCTCGCCGCTGCTGCTGGTGATGTCCTAGGGATGCGGCAATCCGGCTGTGTAGAGGAAGAAGTGATGTGTGGACGGGTTTTTTCCTTGCCACAGGGGAGATGGTGGCCTTTTAGGAGATGCTGAGGGATGCTGGCACCCCAAAAAAACAGGGAGGAGGGTATTGAGAGCAAGGAAGTGCCCTGCAGTGGGGATGGCTTCCATGGGTCAGTGCCATAGGGCCAGGCTGGGCAACTCGCCCCTTGCAGAGAAACTCTCTGTGGGATGTGGGACGGAGAGGGACTTTGGACAAGGGCATGGAGTGACAGGACAAGGGGGAATGGCAATGGCTTCAAACTGATGGAGGACAGGGTTAGATTAGATATTAGGAACAAATTCTTCCCTTGAGGGTGGTGAGGCCCTGACACAGGTTGCCCAGAGATGCTGTGGCTGCCCCATCCCTGGAAGTGTCCAAGGCCAGGTTGGAGCAATCTGGGATAGTAGAAGGAGCAACCATGGCAGGGGGTGGAACTGGATGGTTTTTAAGGTCCCTTCTAACCCAAACCATTCCATGACTCTATGGTTCTATGCTCTGAGAGGGGTCTCAAAGGCAGAAACTACGTGGGGTCTGAGCCCACAGACCCACTCCCGGGGTGATGGCAGCAGCAGGCAGAGGTGAGCAGGGCCAGAGCAGGGCCAGCTGTGTTTTGGGGTCCTTCTCAACTTGGGAGATCAGGAAGGCACTGCTGGAGACACGGACAGAGCAGATGGCAGCAGGGAAGGTACAGATGAGTCACAGACCTGCGGCGTGGGGAGCCGGGGCTCTGCGTGGCTGCTGCAGCGACAAGGCACGCAAAAAAAAGCCCTGTCACGACGGGTGCAGCGTGTAGCTGCCCACCTACGGCGTGTGGAGCTGTACCAAGCATGGCTCTGTGCTGGCTCCCCACAGGGATCCCACTGTGCCATTCCAGGGTGCCACCAGTACAGCCCACGGTGCCACACGGACAGAGGGGCTGTTGGTGGGAGGCTGGACGGGACAGTGGTGTGGCCATGGGCAGGGGTCTAAAGAGGGACCCCCCAAGGAGGTCCCCCTGCCACAGGCAGGGACACTTTCCACCAGTCTGGATTGCTCCTGACAGGGTCCAAAAGCAGGATTGGTGAGCGGAGCTGCATCTGGAGCTCTCAGCCAAGCCCGGGCACCTGGCCAGGCTGGAGCATGGATGTCCCAGGATGTCTGGGCAGTGGGGATGGGTCACCTGGAGGTGTCACAGTGAGGAGGAGGAGGAGGAGGTGGTGACGTGGGGAGCAGTGCCCAGTGGGATTAGCCCCATGGCCTGTTATCCCGTGTCGCAGCCAAGAGGAGCATGTGCTCAGGCTCCTGGCACGGGGAGCCGGCAGCAGGTTTGGCAGCGTCCCGGCAGGTTCTCCTGCCAAGTGCCACATGGAAACAGACACAATCCTGGATAGTGCTCCAGGGGGTTGTTAGCGGTTCGGAGGCAGCTTCCCTGTGGTCTGGAAAGCTGCCGGAGATCATCAGTGCCCAAGTCCTTGATGATCCCTCCTCGTTCCCGGGCCAGTGTGAGTGCACACAGGGGTCTGGTGCTGGGGGATCACTGCAGGGGGCTGCATGGGCTCTGCCTCCATCCCGCAGGTATGACGCAGGGAAAGACGGCTTCATTGACCTGATGGAGCTGAAGCTGATGATGGAGAAGCTGGGGGCTCCACAGACACACCTGGGCCTGAAGAACATGATCAAGGAGGTGGATGAAGACCTGGACAGCAAGCTCAGCTTTCGAGAGGTGAGGGGTGAGAGGGGCTGGGGGGCTCCACACTGGCAGGGAGGTGTTGCCAGCTACTGGTTGTGGTGGAGAGAAGGTGGGGAGGGACCATGGAGGCTTTGGGGTCTTGAGGAAGCTGACACCACTGTCTCCCCTCGCAGTTCCTGCTGATTTTCCGGAAGGCAGCAGCGGGAGAGCTGCAGGAGGACAGCGGGCTGCACGCCCTGGCCCGGCTCTCCGAGATTGACGTATCCACGGAGGGGGTGAAAGGTGCCAAGAACTTCTTCGAGGCCAAGGTGAGGCAGGTGCCAGGGCAGAAGGGTCCCACTGCAGGATGGCGATGCACGGGGGCAGTTTGGTGCCGGGTGATGGGCGGGCGGGCAGGAGGTGGAGATGTTTGGGTGGGCAGCAGGGCTTGGCAGGGGGCCCCAGCTGGAGATGTCCATCCACAGGCACAAGCCATCAACGAAGCCAGCCGCTTCGAGGAGGAGATCAGGGCGGAGCAGGAGGAGAAGAAGAAGCAGGCGGAGGAGCTGAAGCAGAGGAAGGCGGCCTTCAAGGAGCTGCAGTCCACCTTCACGCAGTGACGGGGCCGGGCAGGACTGGTCAGCGGTGCCCGGGCTGGGAAGGCGGCGTGTGCCACGTGCCAACCGCGCCAGGAGCGATGCCAGAGCCACGCGCTGCTCAGGCTGCCAACGAGGTCCCGGCGCGGGCTCGGCGCAGCACCCACCTTGCTGGCAGAGCCCAGTCGGCCCCAGCTCCCCCCTCCCCTCTTGCTGTGGTGTCTGTAGGTGTTTTTGTGCCTCCCCCTCACGTCCCCAGCGTGCCCCCCACCCTGAGCAGCCCCTGTTCCATGCACGCAGCTGCACCAGGGGGTCGCTGCTGCTGAGTCCCGGGGGAACCGTGTCCAGAATGCCCGTCCCTGGGACTCCTGTGCCTGGACTGTTGTCTGCTGTGTGTGCACTGGGAGGTTTGCAGGATGGGGGCTTGCCCAGGTGGCCGTGGTGGGTGCTGTGGTGGCTGCGCTGGCTCAGTGTCTGTCGGTAGTGCCACGTGTGACACCGGTGACAAAAGCCGTGGCGAGGGCCGGGTGCTGGCAGAGGGGCTCTCTGTGTGTGTGTGTGTGTGTGTGTGTGTGGTGCTGGAGGGTGGATGCCCACCCTGCTGGCATAGAGCCCCCAGGAGCTGTGGCACTCTTTATTTTGGTCAAAGACACACAGAAAGGCAGCTGCTGGCTCGTGGGGCTGTGTTATGTTTCTTCATGTTGTATTCGGCCTGGGAGGGTGAGCGTGGTAGCCACAAGTGGTTGCCATCAGTCAACATTGAGGCTCCTGTGTTGGTGGGTGGCTGTAAAGACCCACATTTGTCCCACACTGTCCCCCAAGTGGCGATATAGGGGGTATGTTATGTTGTTTTTTTTTAATTTAATCCCAAATAAATATTATATTTCTTAAGCGCTGGGTGCTGTTGTTGCAACCATGGGAAGGAGCCTGAGGGGAGGAAGGTGTGACCTTAGGCACCAGGTCACCACCACAGAGGGTGGCAGGGAACGGGGCTGAGCCTTGGCAACCTGGGGACATTGGTGTGGGAAGCAGCAGGGGCCCAATCCAGGTGTGGGGACGTGGTGCTCTCAAAGGCCATTGGCAAAACTGCTGGCAGCTGCCCCCTGTCCCACCCTGCAGCACCTGTGGGGTTTGGCTGGCCTTGGCCACTGAGATAAAGGGACCTTGTCCCTGGGGGGGTGGAGTGGTGTGGAGTGGGGTGTTGTGTCCTGGGGCAGTTGTGCTCAAATTTGGGGTGCAGCAGGGCTGACTAGCACCCCACAGAGAGCCGTGGGGATGGGGCACCCCCACCAGCTGCCCCCCAGGAGGGACCCAGGTGTCTCTGCCACGTCCCATCGTGGTGCCAGCACACCGTGGGCAGATGTGGCCGTTCCCAGGCGGGACGGGGAGTGCGATAAGATGGGACGAGGGGGCTGAGGAGCCCCGTGCCCCCAGCGTGGGAGAGTCCCCACATGGCAGCGGTAGGAAGGGCCATCCAAGGTCCCCGGGCCCTATAAGAGGGGTGAGCAGCCCCAGTGCAGCACCTTTGGTCAAGCACAACCATGCTGGGAGCCGTCTGTCTCGTCCTGCTGCTGGGCTACGGTGGGTGCAGGGGATGGGGAGGGGAAGGGGTAGGAGGATAATTTAACCCCTGGTGCCTGCCATGGCCCTGGGCATGGGGTCAGGCAGCCTCTGATGTCCCTGTCCCGGGTGTCTCACAGCCTATGGATGCGGCCAGCCGGCCGTGCCCCCACAGCTGGGCGCCCGTGTGGTGGGCGGTGAGGACGCCGTAGCCCACAGCTGGCCCTGGCAGGTAAGGGGGGCACAGGGATGGGAGTGGGGACAGGGGTGGGGACATTCCTGCTCTAACCCTGTGCCTCTGCCATGGCAGATCTCGCTGCAGTACAGCCGCTTTGGATCTTGGTACCACACCTGCGGCGGGACCCTCATTGCCCCCCAGTGGGTGCTGACGGCCGCCCACTGCATCAGGTGGGTGTCAGGGTGCTGGACCAGGTCTGTGCCATGGAGGTAAGGCATTTGTGGGTGACTGACGCCCTGGTTTTTTTTCCCCTGGCAGCTCTTCCCTGACATACCGTGTGGTGCTGGGCAAGCAGGACCTGTCGGTGGATGATGAGCCCGGCTCGGTGGCCGTGGGCGTGGAGAAGACGATTGTCCATGAGAAGTGGAACTCCTACCTCATCATGTAGGGGATGGGATATGTCAGGGGTGGACGGAGGGTGTTGCTGCCAGGGACCCCCATCCCCACAGCCCGGGATCCATCCTCATGCCTCATCTGTCCCCACAGCAATGACATCGCCCTGATCAAGCTGGAAGAGGCGGTCCAGGAGAGCGATACCATCCGGGCCGCCTGCCTGCCTGAGGCCGGCAAGATCCTGCCCAACAACTACCCCGGCTATGTCACCGGCTGGGGACGCATCAGGAGTAAGCAGGGGGGGGATCACCAGAGGGTCCCTGGGGAGGGGGTGCAGGCACTGCCTTCGTGGGGTACGAGGTTTGCGTGTCATTGCAGCCAACGGGCCCCTGGCCGACGTCCTGCAGCAGGCCCTGCTGCCCGTGGTGGACTACGAGACCTGCTCGCAGAGGAACTGGTGGGGCAGCAACGTGCTCCCCACCATGGTTTGTGCCGGCGGTGATGGCATCAGCTCTGGCTGCAACGTGAGTGCTGGCACTGCCGGGCCGGGGTGGGCGGTGGGTGGTTGAGCGGGGCAGGACCGCGGCACTGGGAGTGGGAGGGATGGAGCCGTGGTGGGGGATGCCCAGGGGGGCATCAGTGGGGAGCCCGGGAGCGGTGGGTGTGGAGCACGGATCTCTCTCCCTGCAGGGCGATTCCGGCGGCCCCCTGAACTGCCAGCGCGAGGACGGGATCTGGGAGGTGGAAGGCATCGTCAGCTTCGGCTCCGGGCTGAGCTGCAACCTGATCAGGAAGCCAACGGTGTTCACCCGCGTGTCTGCCTACATCGACTGGATCAACGAGGTGGGTGCCCCTCCCTCTGCCCCCGCACAGGGGGTGGCCACGCCGCCCCTGCCCTGCCGAGGGTCTCACCCTGAGCCCCCCTGTGTCTTGTCTTTGGCAGAAAATAAGCTCCAACTGAGGACTCGGCACGCGGAGATACAAGTGTTGAGTGTGATAAAGGCAAAAGTGCTGAGCTGGTCTCGTGTGCCGCACTGGTTATTTGGGGGGGACAGGGTGGAGCTGGGGGCAGACACCCAGGGCTGGGTCTGGTGATGTTGGGTCCTGTTTGTGAGCTGAGGAAGGTGTCCCTGTTGTGCAGTGGGGCTGGGCAGGGCCCCGGGGAGGCTGAGGTGGGCAAACATCCCACAAGATGCTCTCACTTGTGGGGGAGAGCCATGGCTGAGCCCAAGAGCTCAAGGTTTGGCTGATGGTTTCATGGGAGTAGGGCTGGGATCTGTTCAGGTGGTTCTGGGGGGCTTCAGGAAACCCACTTGGCCCTTGGGGGGGATCTAGGATATTGGTAGATCCAGGGATCCTTTAGAGGACCTCACTGGCACTGGGCTAGATGGGGGCAGCTGAATTTTAATGGGGGTCTTGAGGGAACTGGGTTGGCTCTGGGGGGCTTGAGGAGGGCTGATTGGTTTGAGAGGGGTCAGGGGAGCATGAGGGAGCTCTGTTGGAGCCAGAGCCCTTGGAACACAGTGGGTAGGGCCTGGAAGGATGGCAGGTGAATCCCAGCTGTGGGGTTTCCTGGGGGCTGCCCTGGAGGAGATGGGGGAGGATTTTCCATGAAAAAGGCAGCCATGTAGGTGGGAGTGGGTGTGAAGGGGCTGCCCAGGGGTGCACTGTGAGCCCCTGAGCAGAGCCATCCCCTGTGCCATCATCCCATCGTGGCTGCTGGAGCCCAGCCAGGATCCTAACAGCAGGAGGAGGAGGAGAACGAGCAGGGATGGACGGATGGCAGCGCCTCCAGCTCGGCGGGGAGGATGTGATGGATGGTGCCGGGTTTAGGAGCCCTGCAGCCGCTGGAATGATGAGTGGCACCATCACCAGACCAGCAAAGAACTCTGGAACCTTCACCGAGGCTTGGGAGCACCAGCACGAGCCACTCAGGGTCTCCCTGGGGACTCTGTGGCACGTGCCAGCCTGGCCATGGGTTTAGTGGGAGGAGAGGGGTGCAGGGTGGGAAATGGTCTGGAGGGTGAGGAAATGTGCTGTGGCAAAGGGACTGTCCAGATCTCCCCAAGGGGAATTAAAGGCCTGTCACAGGATGTGGTGTGGAGGTGGATGCTCTGTGTGTGATCTGGATGGCACTGGGTGGTCGGGGCACTGGCGGGGAGGGCTGGGCAGGGGCTCTGCTGCCCAGAGTGGAGAGCTGCAGGCTGTCCGTGTGAAGCTGAGCAATGGAATGTGCCCCCTTGCCCTGTGTGTGCACCCACATGTGCTGTGGGGACGCAGGTTGGGGCTGGGAGGAAGGGGTGGGGGGTGCAGGACCTTGGTGTCACAGCCTGTTGTATTGCCATGTGCTGTCACCTCGTTGCTGTGGGTGTGCCTGTGCACTGTGTCCCATCCTCAGAGGTGTTTTGGTGAGCAGGGGGGCCCAGGGCATGGGCCCAGAGTGCCACAAGCCTCAGTGCTGGGGCATCAGTACCCATTGTGCATGTCCCACACAGCCAGCCACGGCCATCCCCCTGCACTGTGTGTCACCCCAATAACCAGTGTCCTCTCACCCAGAGGTGGTGGAGAATTGTGACCCCTCTGGGCAAAGAACCTTTTCCTAATACCCAGTCCCTTCCCTGACACATCTCCAGCTGTGCCCTCGGGTCCTGTCACTGCTCACAGAGAGCAGAGATCGGTGCTACCCCTCTGCTGCCCCTGGTGAGGAAGCTGCAGAGCACAGTGAGGGCTCCCCTCAGCCTCCTCTTCTCCAGAGGGTGACTTCACCCACCCCTTGGATGGCTTCACTTGTGTGTGGTTATCTCCTGACCTTCACCACTTTTAATCTTTAAGGCTGTATAGAGTTTAACACATAAACATTACATTTACGTGTTAATTGTCTGTCAGTTATTGTTATATTCTGCTCATGCAGTTTATAATTGACACATTAAATCTACAAGTTAACCTTAAAAAGAGTTTACTTGAATTTTATTTCTGTTAGTTTTCAATGTGTAACACCTTGTAGGATGTGTCCATTATGCAAGTATTTAACAGTGTGGGAGAATAAGGGGAAGTTTAAGAGGGTACAGTGAAACTTTGTGAAGTTTATAACTTTTACTTCACTGCTGAAAGCTGTGAGTGCTCATACGCTCACTTACATAAAAATTACATGTCAAAAGTCATCTTTACCCACTCCTGGGAATGAGAGCTCAGGGACACCCGGGAGGCAGGGACAAACCCCACTGACAGCAGCATCCTGAGCTGATGGGACAGAGCCATGGGCAAGCAGGACCCCACAGCACATGGTGTCAGTCCACATCCTGGGCTCTCCTGGGGGACATCCTGCACTGCAAGACAGGGAGGAGGGACATGAGCAGCAGGGTCCATGGGATAACCCCAAAAGAGCATCCCCCATCCCTCCCTGAGACCCCACCCATAACTGTGCCACCAGAGTGCTCCCACTCTGATTTCACCTCCAACCAAGGATGTCCCAAAAGGGATGAACCACTGCAGTCTGTGCCATGGAAGAAGGAAAGGGACAAGGCTGAGCCACCTCTGCCCAAAGTCACCCACCGGTCCCCTGCACCCCCACCCCATCCAGGGTGCCCATAGGACACCCCAATCCCAGTGCTCCCTTGGTGGGAGAACTGGGGGAATAAACAAGGGGAGGAGTGCAGGGTCACCTTTCCCAAAGGAGAATAGGTCCAGGGGAGGTGGGATCAGCCCTTGGGATCACCTCTACACCCAGGTGATCTGTGCAAAAGGGGTCAGGACAGGACAGGGCACTTCAGCACTCCACACCACAGGGGAATGGGGAAGGGACACAGGAGAGGGGAAGCCACAGCACTGAGCTCTCACAAACCCCTGGGCACTGCCCTGGAGCACCCACCACCAGCCAAAAATACATGGAAAAACACCTAAAATAAGCTGCTGCAGCTCCAAACCACAAACACAGCAATCTAAAATAAGAATGTAAGGCAAAGGAGAAGCCCCCCCCAAAACTCACACATGCACCCCAGAGCTGCACACACCCCCAGGCACTCCCAGATATTGCTGCTGCCATCATTATCCAAGATGATGCTGGAACCTGCACCCAAACCTGCCAAGGACCCACAGTGACCATGTGATAAGTCCCCCAGGAAAGGGAACACCTTGTCCCTGGAAGGTGGTGGTAGGGGGTTGATGTCCTGGGACAACTGGTGCTCGAATCTGGGGTGCAGCAGGGCTGACCAGCACCCAAACAGAGAGCAGCGAGGCTGTGGGATTGCCCACTAGCCATGCCCCAGGAGGGACCCTGCCCACACCAGAGCAGGGCCAGGTGTCTCTGCCACGTCCCATCGTGGTGCCAGCACACCATGGGCAGATGTGGCCGTTCCCAGGCGGGATGGGGAGTGCGATAAGATGGGGCGAGGGGGCCCCCAGCGTGGGAGAGTCCCCACATGGCAGCGGTAGGAAGGGCCATCCAAGGTCCCCGGGCCCTATAAGAGGGGTGAGCAGCCCCAGTGCAGCACCTTTGGTCAAGCACAACCATGCTGGGAGCCGTCTGTCTCGTCCTGCTGCTGGGCTACGGTGGGTGCAGGGGATGGGGAGGGGACGGGGCAGGGGGAGAAGGGGCCCCTGGTGCCTGCCATGGCCCTGGGCATGGGGTCAGGCAGCCTCTGATGTCCCTGTCCTGGGTGTCACACAGCCTATGGATGCGGCCAGCCGGCCGTGCCCCCACAGCTGGGCACCCGTGTGGTGGGCGGTGAGGACGCCGTAGCCCACAGCTGGCCCTGGCAGGTAAGGGGGGCACAGGGATGGGGGTGGGGACAGGGGTGGGGACATTCCTGCTCTGACCCTGTGCCTCTGCCATGGCAGATCTCGCTGCAGTACAGCCGCTCTGGGTCTTGGCACCACACCTGCGGCGGGACCCTCATTGCCCCCCAGTGGGTGCTGACGGCCGCCCACTGCATCAGGTGGGTGCTGGGATGCTGGGGAGGTGCTCCCCCGTGGGGTGGGATGTTTGTGGAGACTGACACCCCTGTTTTTTCACCCTGGCAGCTCTTCCCTGACATACCGTGTGGTGCTGGGCAAGCAGGACCTGTTGACGGATGACGAGCCGGGTGCCGTGGCCGTGGGCGTGGAGAAGACGATCGTCCATGAGAAGTGGAACTCCTTCCTCGTCATGTAGGGAATGGGATGTGTCAGGGGTGGGTCAAGGAGGCATCAAAGCAGAGGAGCTCTGTCCTCACGTTTCACGTCTCCCCACAGCAACGACATCGCCCTGATCAAGCTGGAAGAGGAGGTGCAGGAGAGCGATACCATCCGGGCCGCCTGCCTGCCTGAGGCCGGCAAGATCCTGCCCAACAACTACCCCTGCTACGTCACCGGCTGGGGACGCCTCAGGAGTAAGCAGGGGGGTCCCCAAAGGGTCCCCAGTGAGGGGGTGCGGGCGCAGAGTGTGAGGTGTGACTGTCATTGCAGCCAACGGGCCCCTGGCCGACGTCCTGCAGCAGGCCCTGCTGCCCGTGGTGGACCACGAGACCTGCTCGCAGTGGAACTGGTGGGGCAGCCTTGTGCGCACCACCATGGTGTGTGCTGGTGGTGACGGCGTCGTCTCCGGCTGCAACGTGAGTGCCGGGCGGTTCCTGCCCCCAGCACAGGGCGATGGATGGGTTGGCAGGGGTGCCAGAGAGGTGCAGGTCCCATGGGAAGCACAGGAGGGGAGGGGATGGAGCCGTGGTGGGGGATGGCCAGGGGGGCATCAGTGGGGAGCCCGGGAGCGGTGGGTGTGGAGCATGGGTCTCTCTCCCTGCAGGGCGATTCCGGCGGCCCCCTGAACTGCCAGCGCGAGGACGGGGTCTGGGAGGTGGAAGGCATCGTCAGCTTCGGCTCCGGGCTGAGCTGCAACCTGATCAGGAAGCCAACGGTGTTCACCCGCGTGTCTGCCTACATCGACTGGATCAACGAGGTGGGTGCCCCTCCTCTGCCCCCGCACAGGGGGTGGCCACGCCGCCCCTGCCCTGCCGAGGGTCTCACACTGAGCCCCCCTGTGTCTTGTCTTTGGCAGAAAATAAGCTCCAACTGAGGACTCGGCACGTGGAGATACAAGTGTTGAGTGTGATAAAGGCAAAAGTGCTGAGCTGGTCTCGTGTCTTTCTTTGGAGGGGTTGTGGTGAAACTGAAACTCGGGGCTGTGTCTTGTGGTCCTGGGGAGAGTCCCCCCTATCATGCAGGGTCCTGGGGAGCCTGAGATGGGCAGACATTCCACAAAGCACTCAGGTGGGGGCAGAGCCATGGCCATTGTCAAGCCCAAGGGCTCGAGGCTTGGCTGGTGGTTTGATGGGAGAGGGGCTGGAGTCTGGCTGGAGGGTCCTGGGGGGTCATAGTGGGGTAGATGTGCAGTAGGATGCTGCAATCCAGGGGTACATAAAAAGAGAGCTTCACTTAGCCCAGCAGTGCAGGCAATGGGCACTGGTAGTTCCCAGCCAAGTTTTCTGGCTTCACCACAAGGATTTGAGATCAGAAAAGAGATCAGAACAGAAAGCAGATCCTCTCTCTCTCACTCTGGCTGTGGCCTTTCAAAACCCAGCACTGCCCTAACTGGCTCAACCTGACCCTCTTCCCAGTTCCCCTCATTTGGGGCAGGTAGTTTCCTCACTATCCTGCACCCTGCCCTCTGTTCCCAACTCCCAGCCATCCCTTCACCCAACTCCAAAACCCCAGGCTGGGAATCACTCTGCCTGCAGCACAAAACTGCCTCAAAGGACTGGAAATGCTCCCAAAAGAAAGAGCATGGAAATACCTACTGATTGCTCCTCAGCAGCACAGACCTTCCCTAAGACTGCTGCACCTCCTGAGGACTCCTCTGAGGATGCTCTCTCCCCAAAATCCCACACCCATCTAGGGTTTCTGACCTGAAATGGTCACTGCAGCAGCTCCTGAGGGCAAGTATTTACCTCAGCTCTGATATTCCAAAGAATCCTCATCACTTTCCTGATGTAACTGCTCTTTAACACCCAACTGATTCCTTTAAAGGAGCAGGCTGGCACAGCCACACTAGAAACTCTCCCAGTAGCAGCAGGGGTTAAAAATTTACATGAGCTGAGGTCTTCCTGCTCTTCCCTTTTCAGAGGAGCCTTCATAAGGTGCTAAAATGGCAATCAGGAGGCGGAACAGAGGAGGGAATACAGCAAAAGATTTGCTTTTTCATTGCATTTATTATAAACACTGATGGCAAAACTCATCCCATTATACCTGAGGGCCAAAGTTGATCCCATCAATCAGTTACCTGGGCAGCACAGGACACAAATATCAGGATCAGCAAGGAAAAACACTCTGAGGCTGAGCGTGGCCACATGAAGAGCCCAAGGTGCTCTCCTCTGGCTCCAGAGGTTCCAGGCCAGCATGTACCCCAGAAAAGGGGCTTCCTGCTCCAATCCCCAGCACTTCCCATGGGCACAGCACCATCTCCACCTCATCTCAACTATCACAGCAAGGACGGTGTTCGCAGATCACATTTCTCCAGACAAACACCTCGACAGACGGACAAAATCCACAGGAGCTGTAGCAGGCACAGATTTCCCTTCTGGCCACAGGGAAGGAACTCTCACACTTGGCAGGGACCTTGGAGCCCCCACGTCAGTCACACACAAAGTAGAATTTTTTACGGAGGAAGTTGAAACATCCTGGAATCTGCTTGTAGCTCCCCTTGGCTGAGACAGCGTTTGCCACCTGAGAACAGATGGAGAGTGGCTGGGGAGCAGATGCTCTCCTGACTGTTGCAGGAAGCTTGGGAACAGGGGTCAGGAATGGGACTATGGACATGAGAGCTGGCAGGGTTCTTAATATGAGACATTTTCACTGGCAAAGGCAAAGTGAACTCAGGGGAACACACTTTCAAGACACCTCAGCCATACCACCCACCCCTGCCTCTGGCAGGTGCTTCTTGGCACAAGCCAGAACTCCCTCCTTCCCTTTGGGAATTCAACTAAAAGCAAATTCCCTTTCCACAGCACCCAAGTCCCATCAGCTTGGACTTTTGAGGATGGGACAAGCTATACTGTTTTAAGCAACTTCCTTGGAAAGATTAAAGCCTGTATTGCCGGGATTACTCCTCGCCGGAGAAATCTTGAGGTGATTTTTGGCAGATCGAGGCCAGACACTTTCTTCATAACTAAATCTCTCTGCAGTACCTCCAATTAGCCCATCCCTAAAGTCATCACTCAATATCCTCATTCCTTTTTTTAATTGTAGGCCTCCACACCCTCACTAATCACATTCTTGACTATTTCCTTCGCTGCAACCACAAAAAGAAGGGAAAAAAAAGATATTTACCCGCAGTAACATGTTCAGCAGGTCTTCTGAATGGGCATATCTCTCCAGCACACTGTCCAGGGTCTCCACGTACCACGAGCCAGTCGCCTCCCTCCAGGAGACAAAACCTTCAGAGGAAGAAGGAGAATGTTATGCCAAAGCCCATCTGCTGTTCTCATCCTGCTGAGTTCCTGCCACCCCAACAAAACCCTTGCCCTGAACTGCCGCTGACTTTGGCTATGAAGATCCAATTTTTTGCTAATTCCCCTGTGCCCAGAACAGTACTGTCACCTGGAAAAGTTGAGTAGGAGACCAAGATGTCGCTGGGTGTGGGCAAACAGGCAATGGCATCTGGCTCATCCATGTCACCCGATGGAGCCCGAAAAGGAGTCGCGTCCGATTCCAAAGAAGCTCCAGGAGCTTCATCTTTGGGTGAATCGCAATCCACTATGAAGCCTCGATCCTTTTGTTCTGCAAAAGGCAGCAATGAGACAGCTCCTGATGTTCACCCCACCCAAGGGATCCAACACTGTACATCCAATGTTAAGAAAAGATGGGGAAAGGAAAGGACAAGGGTCCTAGAACAAAACAAGGCTTTCTGGCCCTTCGGCTGCACCGGTCGAGCTGCAACCACTGGTGTTTCATACAAAACTCCTCACTTTCTGTTTCCACACCAACCTTATGGCCGAAGAGCTGGAGCAGCCACTCAGCACATGGTAAAAGAAGAGACAGCTGGAGTGAGAAGACAGCTGGAGAGAGAGACAGGCGACCAACAGAAAGGGAACCAAAGCCCCAGCCTAACCACATCTCCGAAGTCCAACGCTACCGGAGCCAAGACAAAGATTCACCTCCACCACAGGCCTGGATGAAGAAGAGTTTGGGTTTTCCTCTCAAACTTGGGCAATTGGACCCATTGAAATAGTTCACAATCTTTTCTATGGGAATGGGTTTTCCATCCGTTCCATAAACGCCTCCGGGAAACTGAATATGGCTCGTCTGCAAGAGGAAAATGCAGGAGCTTGTGACGGGGATGGAGGGCTGGTGATGAGGGAGCCCATGTCCCATCGGGTGTTTCATGGCCAAAAGGTACCACAACAAATCCTGGTGCTTGTGGAAATCCCTGTGGCCATGTCAGGGTGAGGGGACAGCCAGAAGTCATTTGAAACACACCAAAATCCAGCAATCCATCTTCTATTATCCAACTCCTATCCCACCTCCTCCAGCAACTGAGTTCTTCATCCTCTGGGACCACAGGTGTGTACCATACACCATTTTCCTAACATTCCCTCTCCTCTCCTTATCCTGCAAGAGCTGTGACTGGGAATAAACAGGCTTTACTGCTCATAGGATCTCCCCATCAGAGCTGGAGGAACTGGAAGGACTAACTAATGGCATGAAGCTCTATCAGGGGAGGTTTAGGCTGGATATCAGGAAAAGGTTCTTCACCCAGAGGGTGGCTGGGGACTGGAACAGGCTCCTCAGGCCTGGCCCAAAGATGCCAGAGCATAAGAAGCATTTGGACAATGCTCTCAGGGACAGGGTGCGATTGTTGGGGTGTCTGTGAGGGCCAGGAGTTGGACTCAATGATCCTTGTGGGTCCCTTCTAATTCAGGATATTCTATGATTCTGTGAACAACCACAGTACAAGGCTGAGCGTGACCTCTCTTCAGTTCCAAATTATTAGCCCTGACTTTCCAAACACTTGTCCACAGGCAACACTGGGTCAGAGAAGCTTTCTTTAACCCAGATACAAGGTTGCAATGACAGACCACTTCTTCCCTCCTGCCCTGCATGAGACCTCCCTTCCACGCCCAAGGAACCAAGGGGGAGATGGGATGAACCCACCTGACAGCCATGGGAAAGGATGACCACGATGCAGCAGTCCAAGGCGCTGTGGTCCTGCCGCGCCAGCTTCTGCAGCTCCAAAACCATTTCCTACGTGGGAACCATCACAATAAACAGTTTTTTGAGCCATATCACAAATTACTGCTGGGCCCTGCTCTAACTGGGCATGGGAGGACCTGGAAGAACTCTGCCATGGGATAAGGTGAGTCCCAAGGACAGCTGGCAAAAGCCACCACAGCAGACAGCACGTATTTCTATGTGTCTGCCTTTATTTAACATTGGCTGCTTTAATCACACACATTTCTCATCTCTCTGCACTCTTTACAACACAGCAACATAAACCAAAACACACTTCCACATGATTTATCTACTGAAATCTGCTGCTTCTGACCAGGAGCAGGGGGTGAGTAGAGAACCACATTTTACTTCCAGAGGCCACTGCGGACAATCGAGCTCCCCCCTCACCACCTCAAACAACAACAGAGGGCTGTACAGACAGACAAATCACACAGCTCCAGTGCTGTCCCAGCTATCCCCAAAACACAGCCTCACTTATTTCCCTACAGATCAACAATCAGGCAGAAGGCTGAAAACACGCAAGGTCTTCCTTCCTTCTGCAATCACAGCACGACAGTAAAATAAGAGGATGCGAGTGGTTGTTTGTGTGCCCCGTGCTGTTGGCGTGGGGGAACATCCCCTTAACGTGTTCCCATCGCTTCCAGGGGCTCACCTCTCACCCCTTGTGGCAGCAGGACACAGCCACCCTCACCTGAGCTTTCAGGTCCCGCCGGGTCAGGACGTCGAAGCGCAAGGCCCTGAAGCGCCGCTCCAGCTTCTCGCAGTCGCGGTCGGAGCCCACGCGGGTGGACAGATGGGAGTCTCTGGAGAAGGTGACGTTGTTGAGGATCAGGCAGTGCCCGCAGGGATCTGCTTTCAGCTCATAAACCTGGTGGGGGACACGTCACAGTTAAACTCTTCTTTTTTCCGGGTGCTTGCTCAGGTAACACAAAGTGAGAAGCGGCTCTTCCAGGGATATTTTCTGGAGCCACCCGTGAGGCACACAGCTTTTGGCCAGTAGGGAACACTTTCAGCCTGCCCAAATACTAACCAGGTCACGGCTCTTCTTGTCAACAGCAGAACCTACAACACACAACAGACGTGAGATTTAGTTCACCACAAGGCATTGCACTCCTAGACCTCACATCCATCTTTCCTGACACAATTCCCCCTTCCCACCCTACTGGAAATGAGCCTTTGGCATGCTATCTCTCTGGAAGAGCCTGGGATGCAGCTTACCCTGGGTTGGCACAGGTGTTCGAGGTTTTTCGCTCTCAGCTTGGACTGGGAAGGACAAACGCTCAGGAAGGGTCACAGCTGGAATGACAAAAACACAGGGGGCTGTCCTAACGTGTGTATAGTCTGAGCTTAAAAGCTTCCACTGCTGGAAAGTGGGACATACAGGCTGCCCAGAGAAGCTGTGGCTGCCCTATCCCTGGAAGTGTTCAGGGCCAGGTTGGATGGGGCTTGGAGCAACCTGAGATAGTGGAAAATGTCCCTGCCCATGGCACAGGGTGGAAGAAGATGAGCTTTAAGGTCCCTTCCCACCCAAACCATTCTGGGATTTGATGATTCTCCCAACAGCTCTACATGGTCACCTCTATCAGGATAACAAAAATTAGGACTTCACAGACCATTGCCCACAACAGGATGGATCCCAGATGCCACCCCCATGCTCCTGTTTGCCAACAAATATCCCCCACACCCTCGGCACTAACTTTTATGCTGCTTTTCTCCCCGCAGCTCCAGCTCCACGGGCCGCAGGTCCAGCAGCTGTGGCAGTGCCGGGGGGGACTCGCACTCCTGGCCCAGCATGTCCGCGAGGTCACCCTGCCCCGTGTCCCGCAGGATGGACAGGAACACAGGGAAAGCCTGCTTCCCTCGAGTCTCCAGGTCGATGATCAGCTGCCGGGCTTGGTCTCCTCGGCCGCCGGTGCTCTGCAGGGGAGGGAAACCCAGGAAAACACATGGTCAGGCAACACCTGGGCAGCCCTCCCGACCGGTGCCAGAGAGGGGAAATGTGGGATCTGCACCCAGCACGTGGACACGGGGTAAACCAGAGCAAAACCCAGTGGACACCAGTCACACAGACCCCCAGTAGCCACCCGACAGCCATCCCTGACCCCCCTCCACCCACTACAGTCACCATGGGGACACGCAGCCCTCAGTGGGGTCTGGAGGCAAAGAGGGGAGGAAGCACTCCCAGCCTGGTCCCAGGGGACAAACAGGCACCTCCAGGCTGTCACTGGTGGGCTGGACAGGGTAGAACACCCCCAGGTCTGCCACCTGTCACCGACAGAGGAAATGGGAATGCCTGAAGCCTGTCACCAGATTGTGATGGGGACTCAAGGAGGACCCGCCCATGCCTGGCACTACCTGGGGCTGGGGACAAGAAGGAACAAGGTGTGTGTGTGGGGGGGGTTCTCTGCAGGGCTCGGGGTGGGGAGGGACGAGGACCACTCAGCAGGCTTGTCAGCAGAGTGAGGCGACACAGGGCACACAGGAACCACTTCCCACGGCCACCACACCCCCCCTCCCCTCCCCGCAGGCCCACCTGCATCTCCTCCAGCATGGTGCGGGTGAAGATGCCGCGCCGCTCCAGCGGCTCCCAGAGCGGCTCCACCCGCAGCGCCGCCACCAGCCGGGCCCGCCCGCGCCGCAGCGCCCGCCGGTGCCGCTCCTCCATCCCCCGAGCCGCCGCCCTGCCCCGGAACCGCCTCTGGCTGCCCGGAACAGAATCACACACGGGGAGGGGTCCGCACATGGCATCGTTTTCCGCCTTTTTTTTTTTTTTTTTAATTATTTTTTTATTATTATTTTTAATTTTTTAATATCCCCAGGGATGGAGACTCCGCGCCCTCTCCGGGCCATCGCCGTCACCCGCGCTGTGAAGAAGTTCTTCCTCGCGTTCGGGTGGAACTCCTTGCGCGTCAGTTTCGGAGCGTTTCCCTCTTGTCCCATTGCTGGACCCCCCCACTGCTGGACCTCCTGGTCCATCCATCCCTGCCCCCTCCCTGCAGACACTGACAGACATCGCTGAGGTCCCCTCTCAGTGTCTCTGGAGGCTGAACAGCCCTAGGTCCCCTCAGCCTTTCCTGGTCACAGAGATGCTCCAGTCCCCTCATCACCTGCACAGCCTCTGCTGGATCTGTTCCAGGAGCTCCATATCCCTGCTGTGCGGAGGAGCCCGGACCTGGACACAGCACTGCAGATGTGCCTCCCCAGGGCTGAGCAGAGGGGCAGGATCCCCTCCCTGACCTGCTGCCAATGCTCTTCCTAATGCACCCTGGGATCCCCCTGACCTTCACGGCTCCCAGGACACACTGCTGGCTCAGGGACAGCTTGTTGTCCACCAGGTCCTTCTCCCAGGTCACTCTCAGCCTGTGCTGGTATTCGGGGCTGTTCCTCCCCAGATACAGGACCCTCCACTTGCCCTTGTTGAGCCTCATTAGGATTCTCTCTGCCCAATTCTCCAGCCTGTCCAGGTCCCACTGAAAGGCAGCACAGCCTTCAGATGTAGTAGCCAGTCCCCCCACTTCGGTGGGGGAAGGTGGAAATTAAGAACCACTCAATATCCCAACCACTCAACATTCCCCCCTCTCTCCTCATCCCGGTGAAATGGGGAGGAGAATCAATGTAAAACTTGTATGTTGAGATAAGAACAGTTTAATAATTGAAAGTAAAGTACAGTAACAATGGTAAATTATAATAATAATGATACTATAAAGGGGAAAACAAATAATGCACAATTGCTTACCTTGCCACCCGCTGACTGATGCCAGATCCCCCTTTCCCAACCCAGATCAGCCCGTTCCCAGTAACTTCCCCCCAGTTTATATACTGGGCATGATGTTCTATGGGGTGGAACATCCCTTCGGTCAGTTTGGGTCACCTGTCCCAGCTATGGTACCTCATATTTTCCTTCGTGAACCTCTTCACTGGCAGAGCATGAGACGAGAAAAAAGTCCTTGACTTAGGATAAACACGACTTAGCAAAAAACCAGAGCATCACTGAGCCACAGAATATGCCGAGGGATATTCACAAGGGATCCACAAGGATCACCCTGTACCCTCAGGTTGGTACAGGACCATCCCCAGGAGTCCCACCCTGTGCCCCAGAGGGTCATCCAAACCCTCCTGCAGCTCTGGCAGCCTTGGGGCTGTGCCCACTGCCCTGGGGAGCCTGTTCAGTGCCCAGCCACCCTCTGGGGAAGGAGGAAAAGATTCTGAGATCCAACCTGAGCCTGCCCTGACACAGCTCCAGCCATTCCCTGGGGGCTGTCCCTGGTCCCCCCAGAGTAGAGCTCAGTCCTGCCCCTCCTCTGCCCCTGCCCAGGAAACTGGAAATGCAGTGAGGTCTCCCCTCAGCCTCCTCCAGCCGAACACCCCGACTGCCCCCGGCTCCTCCTCGCCGCCATCCACGGCTCTAACGCAGCACCCATCCCCGGAGCATCCCCGGAGCATCCCCGCAGCATCCCCGGAGCATCCCCGGAGCATCCCCGGCCGAGGCGGCGCTGCCCGGGCCGCGTCCCCGGAAGCTCCGGCTCTCCCCGGGCAGGGCGGGCGCGCCGGAAGCGGCGGCGAGAGGAGGGAAGGGCGGCCCGTCCGCTGCCTCCGCCCGCGGGGCCCCGCCGGACATGGAGCCGGCCCGGGCCGCCTGGGTGCTGCTGCTCCTGCTCCTGCTCCTGCTGCTGCTGCCGCCAGCCCTGCCCGCCGCGCCGGGAGACTTCGACCCCTACCGCGTGCTGGGGGTCGGCCGCGGCTCCAGCCAGGCCGACATCAAGAAGGCCTACAAGCGGCTGGCCCGGGAGTGGTAGGTGCTGCCCCTTCCTGCCCTCGTCCCGCTCCCCCGGGGGATGCTCGGCGGGGATGCGGAGCGGCCCCGCCCGGCTGTGCGGCGCGGGTGGAGGTCGGGCGGCAGCGCCGGGGCTCCCTCGCCGCCCTGAAGCCGGACAGGTGCCCCCCGAGCCAGCGATCCGTGCTGTAAAACCCTCTGGAGGCTGGCTCTTGGGGGGCTAAGTTATCCCAGAATCAGGCCACAGGAGGGAAGGGTCTTCCAGAGTCCGGCTATGGGGGGGGAAAGTTCTCCTGGGGTCTGACCACAGAGAGGAAAGTTCTTCCAGGGTCTGGCTATGGGGGGGGAAAGTTCTTCCAGGGTCTGGCTATGGGGGGGGAAAGTTCTCCTGGAGTCTGGCTATGGGGAGAAAATTCTCCTGGAGTCTGGCTATGGGGAGAAAATTCTCCTGGATTCTGGCTATGGGGGAAAGTTCTCCTGGAGTCTGACTACAGAGGGGAAAGTTCTTCCAGGGTCTGGCTATGGGGGGAAAAGTTCTCCTGGAGTCTGACCACAGAGGGGAAAGTTCTTCCAGGGTCTGGCTATGGGGGCAAAATTCTCACAGAGTCTGGCAGCAGGGGGAAAAAGTTATCCTATGGTCTGACTACAGGGGGAAAAGTTCACCCAGAGCCTGGATAAGTTATCCTGGAGTCTTGACTACGGAAGGGAAAGTTCTTTCAGGGCCTGGCTATGGGGAGGGGGGAAATTCTCCCAGAGTCAGGGTTTGGGGGAAAATATTCTCTTGGAGTCTGGCTATGGGGAGAAAAGTTCTTCCAGAGATCTGGCTGTGGGTGAAAAAGTTAATCCTGGAGTCTGATTACAGAGGGCAAAAGTTCTTCCAGAGTCTGGCTATAGGAAAAAATTCTCTCAGAGTCTGGCTATGGGGAGGAAAGTTCTTCTAGAGTCTGGCTTCAAGGGGGAAAAGTTCCCCTAGAGTCTGACTATGGGGAGGAAATTCTCCTGGAGTCCGTCCGTGGGTATAAAAAGTTCTCCCTTACTCAAAGAGGAACTTTTAATACACTGGAGTTTAATTCTCACCTTGATATGTCGCTGTCCAAGGGCAACCCAATCCCTGTGCTGTGGGAGGGGAAGGCATCAGGTGCACAAATGTCACACCCCTTGCATCCATGGTGCGTGGTGAGGGGCAGGCTTGAGGCATCGCCTGGGGGAAGAGCCTCACCCAGAGCTGTTGTCTTGCATGAGACATCCCCGAGGGCTGTGGCAGGAGGTGATTTGAGGAAGGACCCAGTAGATATGTGGGGCAGCAGCCAAGGGAGCCATTGCTAGGAGAGAGGCGTGCTCCCTTGTCCTGGGCTTGGGCTGTTGGTGGTGGATCAGACAGAGGCACAGGTGCCCGGGCACACCACACACATCCCAGTGCTGCATTTTGGGATGGGGCTTGGATAGGGGCAGCATGTGCTGGGTGTAAATCTGCTCTCAGCCTCGGGGATGCCACTGCACATCGTAGCTGTCCGTGTTCTGCTCGCCTCCAAACAGGGGCCGACAGCTCCCTGTGCCCTCCAGGGAACCACTGACCCCTTTTCCTCTGGTTCTGCCTCGTAGGCACCCTGACAAAAACAAGGACCCGGGAGCAGAAGACAAATTCATCCAGATTAGCAAGGCCTATGAGGTAACACGTGCTCCTTATGAACTCCTGCAGTTGTTAGCATTGAGAGACCTTATTTTTCCTGTGCTTTTCCTGTGCATTGCTACATGGTAAAGGTGATTGACCCTGTAGAGGTGGACACTACCCAGCCAAAGAGGTTGCTCAGCTTTGTTGACAGAGCCACTGGAGTCACCAGCGTGGCCTCTGCTGCAAATATTTTGCTACAGGCCTGCCCTGTTCTGGCTGAAAACCCTCAAAGGAGGGAGGAGAGAGTATTCACTGAGCCCTGCCTGGCTGGGCAGCGTCTTGTCCGTGTCACATGCACATAAAAGCATTTTGGGGTGATGTAAGCAACATTAATCATCACAGGGCTTTGGTCACCTCAAATTATTCTCAGTAGTAGTTATTTGCACATCGCTGTGGAAATTGGCCGCCCTAGTTTGTGGCAGTCGAGCCCAAGGAACTAAAAGTAAATCCTTATTTCCCTACCAAAAAAAATGCAGTTTCTCTGTGGGGCTCCTGGCTTCTTGGTGAAGTTTTTGTCACTTTCTGGTGTGCTGAGAAAACCCTCTGGGTTCAAAGAGACACCAGCAAAAGCTGATCCAGAAAAGAGGGAATCCCAACGTGGGATGTTCTGTCCCAGGGAGCTGTTGCTGTCAGAAGTGGGTACAACAGTCCGGATTTAGAGGCTCCTTTTCTTTGGGCTTTGGCTTTTCCTTATCCCTATTTACCACAGTGAGCCTGGAGGGATGAGATAGTTCCCTTTTCCAGAGTATTTATCCCCCACGTTCCTTACGCAGCCACGGTCACTTACTGAGGGATTACGGTCAGGGCAGTGTCCCCCTCATGGTTTTTCCATCATCTGCTTCCCAGATTCTCTCCAACGAGGAAAAGAGGGCAAACTTCGATCGCTATGGAGATGCTGGGGAAAGCCAGGGCTTCTCTCAGCACCAGCATCGCCAGTTCCACCGCTTCCACGACGGCTTCTATTTCGACGAGTCCTTCTTCCACTTCCCTTTCAATTCCGAGAGACGCGACACCTCCGATGAGAAGTATTTGCTGCACTTTTCCCACTACATGAATGAAATCGTGCCGGACAGCTTCAAGAAACCTTACCTCATCAAAATCACCTCGGACTGGTGCTTCAGCTGCATCCACATCGAGCCCGTGTGGAAGGAAGTCGCTCAGGAGTTGGAGGCGCTGGGTAAGGATCGGGCTGTGTGTGCATCCAGCGCTGGCCTTCAGC